TTGAGATACATGAATAAAATTTATTCAACTCAAAAAAATTTTAAAAAGTAAATTGAGGGGCTGGCGCCATGTTTCAATAGGCTAATCCTCCGCCTGTGGCACCGGCACACCGCACACCGGGTTCTAGTCCTAGTCCCGGTCAGGGCGCCAGATTCTGTCCCGGTTGCTCCTCTTCCAGTCCAGCTCTCTGCTGTGGCCTGGGAGTGCAGTGGAGGATGGCCCAGGTGCTTGGGCCCTGCACCCACATGGGAGACCAGGAGAAGCACCTGGTTCCTAGCTGCGGATCAGCACGGTGCGCCAGTCACAGTGCGCTCCATTGGGGGGGTGAACCAACGGAAAAAAGGAAGACCTTTCTCTCTGTCTCTCTGTCCACTCTGCCTGTCAAAAAAAAATAAAAATAAAAAAAAAATAAATTGAGGTCACTGTATTCAACCTCAGGGAACTGACAACTAGGAAAATTGAAACTCGTTACTTAAATAAGCTCTGTGAGACATTTCTTAAAGGTTTATTTTTGTCTTTGTTGGTTGCAAAGAAAGGCTGAGGTATTTGATGTTGATTTGAGACTTGACTTTTAAATATTATTTTTTATTTCATGCTGCTTACCCCATTACCTGATTGTGATCCCCACCCAGCTGGTCTTGACCTCAGTGCCATTGCTGGTTTTAGATGTTAACGAGGAGCTCATAAGAGGACGGATTGTCCCAGCTCCGGATAACTGTCTGGCCCTTAAGGGAGCTTTCTGTTGGTTTCAGACGAGGTTTCCCGCAAGCTCTCGGACATGTACCGGCAGGAGCTGCTCCTGAAGCGCACCGTGGCAGAAGAGCTGGCGCACACCGCCGACCGCGACCTCAGCCTGAGCTACCTGTCCATGTGGCTGCACCAGCCGTATGTGTGCAGCACCAGCAAGCTGCACCTGGAGAGCATGCTGCTGGAAACGGGGCACCGAGAACTGTGACCTCCCGGAGTGGCTGTGGACGAGCCCGCGTCCCGGCCCCAGGCTGCCGGCTCCTGCCAGGTCTGCTCATGTCTGCTCAGTCCCGTGTAGGCCACTGCCCTGCCGGTGCAGGTCCTGCACACTGGGTCATTCCACCTGCTTCTCACAGGCTCTCCAGGCACGGCTGCCACTGCCGTGGGAGCCCCTCACGTGCTGCCACCTGCCACTTCGTGTCACACATATGAGTGCTTCTGCGTCCCTGAAAGGAACGAGTGACCTGGTTTTTGTAAATTAGATGTCCTTTACATATACATTTATGCAGAAAATCCTTGGTATTAGGTTTTATATCTATCTGAATTGCTTACACTTTTATGACAGTATATTAATTTTCTGATACAACTGATGTTTAAATCCTGTGTATTTGGTACTGAGGCACAGTGGGTTAAGCCGCCAGCATCCCGATCGGCGCCAGTTTGAATCCCCTCTGCTCCACTTCTGATCCAGCTCCCTGCTAATGTGCCTGGGAAAGGAGCAGAGGATGGCCCAAGTGCTTGGGCCCCTGCACCCATGTGGGAAAACCAGATGGCATTTTGGGCACCTGGCTTCCGCCTGACCCAGCCCTGGCCTTTGCTGCCACTTGAGGAGTGAACCAGCAGATGGAAGATCTCCCCTCCCCACCGACATCACTCTTCCTGTCAAATAAGTAAATAAATATTTAAAATAATAATAGTCTTTGATTTTTAGCTTTTTCCTATTGAACCATTCAGGTACTGCTGATGGGGCAGGCATTTAGTGCAGTGGCTAAGTTGCGACTTGGGATGCCCACATTCCCATTCTGGATGCTCAGCTCCCTGCTAATTGTCTGGGAAGGCAGCAGCTGATGCCCTGCCACCCATGTGGGAAACCACATAGAATCTCTGGTTCCTGGCTGCAGCCTGGCCCAGCCCTGGTTGTTGCAGGCATTTGGGTAGTGGGTCAACAGATGGAAGACCTCTCTCTCTCTCTCTCTCTCGGCCTTTCCCCTTCGCCCTCTTCCCACCCCATTGCACTGCCTTTCAAATAAATAAATCTTTAAAAAATAAACAATGGGGGAGGGCCGGCGCTGTGGTGCAGTAGGTAGTCCTCCGCCTGTGGCACCAGCATCCCATGTGGGTGCCATTTTGAGTCCCAGCTGCCCTTCTTCCGATCCAGCTGTCTGCTGTAGACTGGGAAAGCAGTAGAAGATGGCCCACCAGCACTATGGCGCAGTGGGTTAAAGCCTTGGTCTGCAGCACCGGCATCCCATATGGGCACCAGGCATCGGTTCTAGTCCCAGCTGCTCCACTTCTGATCCAGTTCTCTGCTATGGCCTGGGAAAGCAGTGGAGGATAGCCCAAGTCCTTGGGCCCCTGCACCACATGGGAGACCTGGAGGAAACTCCTGGCTCCTGGCTTCAGATGGGCTTAGCTCCTGCCATTGCAGCCATCTGGGGAGTGAACCAGCCAATGGAAGACCTCTCTCTGTCTCTCTCTCCCCCTCTCTCTCTCACTCTCTTTGCCTCTCCTTCTTTCACTGTGTAACTCTTTCAAGTAAATAAATAAATCTTTAAAAAAAGAAGGCCCAGGTACTTGGGTCCCTGCACCCATGTGGGAGACCCAGAAGAAACTCCTGGCTCCTGGCTTCGGATTGGTGCAGCCCCACCTGTTGCAGCCATTTGGGAAGTGAACCAGTGGAAGGAAGACCTTTCTGTCTCCTCTCCCTCTCAACTGTCTGCAACTCTACCTCTCAAATAAATAAATAAATCTTTAAAAAATAAAAAAGAAATGATGGGGCCAGCACTGTGGCAGAGTGGGCTGAGCTTCTGCCTGCAGCTGTGGCATCCCATGTGGGTGCCGCTTCGTGTGTGCGGCTGCTCCTTTTCCAGTCCAGCTCTCTGCAACGCTCTCACTGCAAGAGCAGCGGAGGATGGCCCAGGCACTTGGGCACCTGTACCCACGTAAGAGACCCCGAGGAGGCTCCTGATCAGCCCAGCTGGGCCACTGCAGCCATTTGAGAATGAACCAACAGATGGAAGACTTTTCTGTAATTCTGCTTTCAAATAAATAACTCTTTAAAAAATAAATGAAATGGAGCCGGCTTTGTGGCATAGTGGGCAAAGCTACTACTTCCAACGCCAGCAGTCCATATAGGTACCAGTTGAAGTCCCAGCTGCTCCACTCCCGATCCAGCTCCCTGCTACACATGTGGGAGACCTGGCAAAAGCTCCTGGCTTCTGGCCTTGGCCTGGCCCAGCCCTGGCTATTGTGGTTATCTGGGGAGTGGATGGAAGATCTCTCTGTCCATCCCTCTCTCCCTGATTTTCAAATAAATAAAATAAAAGTTAAGTGATGAACAAAAATGAATCTGCAGCGCCGTTTCCATGTGAAAGGAACGGGGAAGTTGGTCCGTGTGGGGCTTCTGGTTAATCCTAGTGGATGGACCACACAGCTTCGTCACAACTGACAGGGAAGTGGAAGGCTAGAGTGCGGGTGGGGGAGGGCTTGGAGATGAATTCAAAAACTAAAACATTAGCTCCGGGGAACATAAAAGCTAAAAAATAATCACAGTGTATTACACGCAGCTCAGTCATAACAATGTGACCCCAACTGCTGACCACCTAACTGGCCACGCTGGACCAGACCACGTGGCCACTGAGTTGTGACAAGTACGTTGGATGATGGGTTTGGACTCCCCTGCAGGTCTCCCCACTGGGGTGGGTGCCAAGGCCCACCGTGTCCTGCGCCTGGCCTGAGCGAGAAGCCCACCCACCTTCGCTGGAAGCCGCCAAGTTAGGGAAGCTGTTCCTGCGGCATCAGGAGAGGAAGTGTCCTCTCGTGTGCGCGCAAGAAGCAGAGTGCTGAGATGAGCTGTGCTGTGGGACTCTGGGAGCTCTGCCTGGGACGCACAGCACAGGGCTCCCCAGACGCAGGGCCCAAGTCGTGCTCGCTGCTGTCAGCTCCGTGCCTGGCACCCGGCAGCTCTCGAGCGCATGTCCCCTGAAGGGGCATTCTGTTATCAGAGCTCCTGTGTTTCCAACTCTACAGCGGGCAGCTTTAATTGAATCGTTTAGATTTACTGTCCATCCCCAGTACCACACACAGTGCTGCACTTAAGTAGTGCAGGATGCCTAACAGCATAGTGTCCTATAAACAGGAAATAAATGCTTATTTGCCAGAGCCGTGTCCAGGCCATGGTCAAGTTTGACTCTGCTGGCTGATGGGCATTATGAACCATGCTCCAGGAGGAGGCTGTGACCACAACTCCAGGAGGGGACTCGTGGGTTAGTGGGATTCTGGGCCCTGGAGATGTGGCCCTGCGTCCACAGGACAAGCCCAGCCTCTGCTGGCCCCATTCTTTGCAGCTGTGGCCGGCTCATCTGCAAGCCAGGAAACTGCCCCTCACCTGCTTTGGGATCTGAGAGGGCAGGAAGGGCTCCCCAGGCCTCCAAAGTATAGGAAATGCCATGAGGGCAGAGCCCAGCCTGCCGCAGGCCGCAGGAAGCGCGGGACAGCAGGTGGCGCCCAGCTGTGTTCCCGGGCATCACCTCTCTCCTGACAGCCTCTGCCAGGTAGGCGGGAAACCACCGAAGCTCTCCCCACAACACAGTGAAGGGAGACAACCGAGAGATCGGAGACCTCGGTGAGTGGCTTCACCAGGGGTCGTCACACAGCTGGAGCTCGGACCTGAGCCCCACCTGGCTGCCGCCACCCCACCCCCACCCAAGTCACCCTATCCTTAGCCCCTGCTTTCCTGTCTACACACCGCGTGTGGAAGTGACCTGATTTCTCCCTTCTCAGCGTGCCGCCCGGAACAGCTGCCTTCCCTTGTTAATTGAGCCAGGAAGAAGCTTCGAGCGCGGCCCACGCCTGATAAGCAGCACAGCACCAGAGAGGGGTCTGGTTCTCTGGGAATGGAGCAGGGCCGCAAGCAGAGGTGCAGTGAGATTACCCGCAGCAGCCCAGAGCCTCTGAGGATGAGACGTCCACATGCGGCGTCTTCAAAAAGTTCACGGAACTGCATGTTAAAGAACCATGCATGGATCTCAAAATGCCGTGGCAACAGAGAAATGTATCTTTTAATTCCATTTTCCACAACGAAGCCTCTGAAGGAGGTTCGTGGGTTTGCTATCAGGTCGCGTATCTGCCATCGCTCTGAGGAGCTCTACAAAGTGTGGACAGCAGGACGTGAGTGCACAAAGTGTGGACAGCAGGACGTGAGTGCACAGAGTGTGGACAGCAGGACGCGAGTGCACAGAGTGTGGACAGCAGGACGCGAGTGCACAGAGTGTGGACAGCAGGACGTGAGTGCACAGAGTGTGGACAGCAGGACGCGAGTGCACAGAGTGTGGGCAGCAGGACGCGAGTGCAGAGTGTGGGCAGCAGGACGTGAGTGCACAGAGTGTGGACAGCAGGACGCGAGTGCACAGAGTGTGGGCAGCAGGACGCGAGTGCACAGAGTGTGTGCAGCAGGACGCGAGTGCACAGAGTGTGGACAGCAGGACGTGAGTGCACAGAGTGTGGACAGCAGGACATGAGTGCATAGAGTGTGGGCAGCAGGACGTGAGTGCACAGAGTGTGGACAGCAGGACGTGAGCTCTACAAAGTGTGGGCAGCAGGACGCCAGTGCACAGAGTGTGTGCAGCAGGACGCGAGTGCACAGAGTGTGGGCAGCAGGACGTGAGTGCACAGAGTGTGTGCAGCAGGACGCGAGTGCACAGAGTGTGGACAGCAGGACACGAGTGCATAAAGTGTGGGCAGCAGGACGTGAGTGCATAGTTCTTTATAAATACGAAGTCCATATGTGTCAGTGTTTAGAAAAATAGACATTGCTGGAAACAGCTTCTTTGGATGAAACACACACGAGTCTAGGATCATGGCTACGCCTCCTCGTCACTCGCCTCCTCGGTGAGGAGCGGCTCCACGGTTGCCAGAGGAACCCCCTCGGCTGCAGCCATCTGCAGGGCGGTCCCCGCGGCCTCAGTGACTATGACAACGTCCTGCTGTGACACTATCGTACCTGGATGGGACAGGATGAGCCCGTCAGGAGTCTGAATGAGGATCTGCTCATGGCACCCACTGGGTATTTCAAAAGCCACAGCTTCACCCACAGCAACCATGCCCTCCAGTTCTCTCTGGCTGCCATGCACCTCCGTCCCACAGGGGAACTGGTTCAAGTTCCCTGTGTGGCTTTCAACACCCCCTCTGGTGGACAGCGATCCGTCCTTGCCAGGCTGAGGCCCTGGCTGAGACACGGTGCTGCAGGCACAGTCAACCGGCCCGACACCCGCGGGCACAGCTTTCTCCAGGGGAGGGGCCGCAGCCGCTGTGAGCAGGTCAGGGCTGGGCCTGGCCTGCTGGCCAGGGAGGTGGGCATCGCGCCTCCCACGGCTCCCGGAGGCGCCGAGCAGCAGAGGCTGCACTCCTCCGCCCGCTGACAGTGTGCTGCAGGCCGCCGGGCCCCTCGGGCTGTCCCCCGTGTCCTGGTCTGAAGAGTGTCCCAGAGCCTTCCGATCAGGAAGCGGTGCCTGCTGGAGCCGGGCCAGCCTCGCGGGCTCTCCCAGCTGAATGCAAGGAGGAGCTCCACCACGGTCCGAACAGCAGGGGGCAGGGCCCACACAGCCACTTCTGGCCTCTGAGTCAGCAAATGCCTTCAGCTGCCGGCCCTCGTGTACCAGGCTTCTGCCACCATCGCAGCCTGTCACCGCCTGGCTGCTTTCAGAACGGGGAGAAGCGTTCTCATTTGCTGGACAGGCAAGACCTAAACAGTTGAAAAAAAGAGGTAAGCACACGTGTTCCAAGCTCCAGGCTGCTCGCTGCCCTCACCATCCGCGGCAGACTGGCCCAAGCCGACACCTGCAAAAGCAACCGAAGGCGTCAACTCTCCTCGGCGCCTGACACGGGCAGCACTTTTGTTTTTTAGTCCCTGTTATCTAGTCACAAAGATTCTGCAATAAAATGCATCCCAGGCGTCATTTCAGCGGTGTGACTGTATACAGCCACTGAATGAAGGGATGATTATGGAGCGATTCAGTGGCTCCTCACCTGGGAGGCGAGAGGCTGTTCAAAATACTCGTGCCCATGCCCAGCCCCACATCCCGATTCAGTGACCTGAGGCCCAGGCCCCTGCACGTCCACGTAACCTTCCCAGGCCATCAGCGCCGAGTGCATGAAGCCGTCCCACTCCGTGGCGCCCTGAGCCTGGGACACTGACAGCACAGACCTAAGAGCCGCGTCTGAAGCCGCACGGCAGGACTTAACATTTGCTTCCGATGTGGATGAGGCTAAGAGGATTCAGACCACAAGAGGGGAGCTGTGTTCCAAACATGTGCCCGAGGAGCAAACCGCCCTCCTCAACAGCAGGAGGGGCAGTCACCCCTAAAAGGAAGACTGGGGGGGGGGAGCAGCACTGCGGCATAGTGGGCTAAGCCTCGGCCTGCGGCCCCAGCATCCCGTGTGGGCACCAGTTCATGTCCCGGCTGCTCCTCTTCCCACCCAGCTCGCTGCTAATGGCCTGGGTAAAACTGAAGTGGGGGGGCCAGCGCCGTGGCTCACTTGGTTAATCCTCCACCTGCGGCACCAGCATCCCATATGGGTGCTGGGTTCTAGTCCCGGTTGCTCCTTTTCCAGTCCAGCTCTCTGCTGAGGCCCAGGAAGGCAGTGGAGGATGGCCCAAGTGCTTGGACCCTACACCCGCATGGGAGACCAGGAAGAAGCACCTGGCTCCTGGCTTTGGATCAGCGTAGCTCCGGCAGTAGCAGCCATTTGAGGGGTAAACCAACGGAGGGAAGACCTTTCTCTCTGATTCTCTCTCACTGTCTAACTCTATCTGTTAAATAAATAAATAATTAAAAAAAAAAAAAAAACTGAAGCAGGGATGGCACTGTGGCACCGTGGGTTAGGCTGCAGCCTGTGATGCTGGCATCCCATATGAGAGCACTGGTTCAGGCCCCAGCTGCTCTGCTTCTAATCCAGCTAACGCACCAGGGAAAGCAGCAGAAGACGGCCCAAGTGCCTGGGCCCTGCCACCCACGTGGGAGACCTGGATGGAGTTCTGGGCTCCCATTTGAGGAGTGAACTAGCAGATGGAAGACTCTGTTCTCTCCATCTCTCTCCGTCAAATAAACAAATAAGTAAATAAATGAATAAATCTAAAAAAAACCCCATTCCAGGGGCCAGTGCTGTGGTGCAGCGGGTTAAAGCCCTGGCCTGAAGCGCCGGCATCCCATACAGGTGCCGGTTCTAGTCCCAGCTGCTCCTCCTCTGATCCAGCTCTCTGCTATGGCCTGGGAGAGCAGTGGAAGATGGCCCAAGTCCTTGGGTCCCTACACCCACGTGGGAGACTCGGAGGAAGCTCCTGGCTCCTGGCTTCGGATTGGCATAGCTCTGTGAACGTTGCGGCCATCTGTGGAGTGAACCAGCAGATGGAAGACCTGTCTGTCTGTCTCTACCTCTCTCTCTAACTCTGTCTTTCAAATAAATAAAATAAATCTTAAAAAAAAAAAAAAAAAAAAAAAAACTCATTCCTGAAGCAACTCCCGTTTTAATGAGGGACCCTAGAAGACGTCAAAGCCCTCTCAGGAGTCATGGAGAAGGAATGAGACATTAGGATAACGTTGGGATAACTTCAGAAACCAGAAGGTTGTCTTCACTCAGTCACAGGGGCACCCAACCCTGAAAAGCAGGGGTCCTGGGCATATCTGCGCCAGCAGGACCTGTGGGCCCAAGTGCACACCCACGAAGAGCGTTTTACTCTCACCGGCAGCTGGATCGCACAAGGGCCTGGGCTTCGCCTGGCCCGTGCCCTCGGCAGCAGGAGACTCGGCAGTGTCCTCCGGCAGAGTTTCAGTTCTGGTCCTTTTCACTGAGGCCTGCAGGTCCTGTGTGGCCTGTGAAAGGAAGGCCCGATCAGCCGAGACAAGGAGGAAACCGGCAAGCCTGCAGGGCTGCCTGGGGAACAGAGCTGTGAGCGAAGCAGCCAGACGCGACCTGAACGCTGGACGGTCAGCTGGTCACCTGGCACCCACTTCCCCCATGCTCACCTCACTGCCCCTCTTCTGTCCGCTGGCTTCCTCCAGCCTCTCCCTGCCCTCTGGGCCGGGGCACTGGGCTGCAAGGCAGTCCGTGCACATGTCTCTTTTCCTCATGAATTCTTCTGTGATCCCCAGGGACTCAGCTACCTGAAAAGAAAGGGGCCCACAGAAAGCAGCTTCAATCCAAGCCAACACAAGTATTCAGAAGCAGGTTAACACCGGCATTCAGTATTTCTAATTTTTAGATTTTTTACTTCTATTTTTATTTATTTGTCTTCATCTTGTTTGAAAGACTCAAGAGACAGAGATGGACAGAGAGGCTTGCGATTCACGGGTTCACTCCCCAGATGCCGCAACGGCCAGGGCTGGGCAGAGCAAGCCAGGGGCCAGGAACTCCACCCAGGTCTCCCACGTAGGTGGCAGGGACCCAAGCACCTCCTGTCTCCCGGGATGCACATTAGCACCTTAGCAGGAAACTAGAATCAGAGGCAGACCGGGGACTCATCCAGTATGGGTGCCAGTGTCCCAGTGGCACCTGAATTGCCCCAACGACGGAGTTCAAATCCAGGCAACGGCTTAATATGGTGAGCAGACAGCCAGACAAGGAAAAGGGCAAAGGAGGAAAACCCTGGGGGCACACGGATACACGGCCGTCACATCCAGAGGCCCAGTGCCCAGTGACACACGGACACACGGCCGTCACATCCAGAGGCCCGGTGTTGGCACAGTTTGCAAGAGAAGATTCAAAGAGTTCCAAAAACTTGTAGGGGCAGTGCTGTGGCACAGCGGGTTAAGCCTCCGCCTGCAGCACCGGCATTCTCTACGGGCACCGGTTCCTGTCCTGGCTGCTCCTCTTCTGATCCAGCTCCCTGATGATGCACCTGGAAGAGCAGTGGAAGATGGCCACAGTGCTGGGGCCCCTGCACCCTCGTGGGAGACCCAGAAGAAGCTCCTGGCACGTGGCTTCAGATCAGCACAGCTCCAGCCATTGTGGCAATTTGGAGAGTGAACCAGCAGATGGAAGACCTCTCTCTCTCTACCTTCCTCTTTCTGTCTAACTATCCCTCTTAAATAAATAAATCTTTAAATAAATAAATAAATCTTTAAAAAAAAAAAAAAAAAAACCTTCTAAACACTCTGTCATGCTGGTTGAGAGAGCTGACCTAGATCCCAGCTTCTCAGGCCATGGCCTGGGCGGTTCTGCAAGTCACTTGAGTACATGAGTACCCTTGCCCGTCTCCCACTCACCGCCATCACCCCAAGTCTCCTCCACGTCTCTATGAGCCTTCCTGTCCACCTCCCCTACACCGCTCTCCCTCCTACGGCTCCTCCTCCTTTCCCAGAGTCCCCCACTCCCCGGGTCTCTTCCCCATTTTCCCAGTCTCCCTGAACCATCTCCCCAGTCTTCACACCCACCCCTGTCTCCTCAAGTCTCCTCCCCATCCCCCGTGTCTCATCACTGTCTCCCAGGTCTCCCTTATCCACATGAGAGATCACAGCTGCTAGAAAGGTTTTTGGGAGGATTAGATTTGATTCCGTATGCAAAGCCAGTGTACAGCACCAGATATAAGGGTCTAAGTGATGGCCATTATCACACTGGACGTTATCATGAGACCACTGGGGCAGGAAGGGCAGGCCGCAGCATAAGGCTACGTGGAAAACAGAAGCCAGGCAAATGTAATGCCTACCAGGCTGAACAGTATGCCTGACAGACAGCACTGCCATTGTTCTGGATGGCCGGGCACCTACAGCAGTGGGTCCCAAGGGTGTGCACACACAGCTCTGTTTCAGGACAGGAGGTCTCCCACACTTATTTAACTGTTTAAAAAAAATTCACGGGAGGGGGAAGGGCAGGCTGTGGTGCAGTGGCTCAGTCTCTGCAGGTAAGTCCCCACTTGGGATGCTGCATCCTGTATAGGGTGCCTGGCTCTGCTTCTGATTCCAGCTTCCTGCTAATGCACACCCTGAGAGGCAGTGGAGATGGCTCAAGTCCCTGGGTCCCTGCCACCATGTGGGAGCCTGGGTAGACTTCCAGGCTCCTGGCTTCAGCCTGGCCCAGCCCCAGCTGTTGAGAGCATTTAGGGAGTAAATTGGCAGGTGGATGGTCTCTGTCTCTGTTTCTCTACTTTTCAAATAAGTAAAAAAATTTCAAATATCACAAAGGGACTGGTGCTATGGTATAGCAGGTTAAGCCTGCAGCGCTGGCATCTCATGTGTGCACTGATTAGAGTCCCAGCTACTCCACTTCTGTCCAGCTCCGTGCAGATGTACCTGGGAAAGCAGTGGAGGATGGCCCAGTTTTCTGGGCCCCTGCCACCCAACTGAGAAACCTGAAAGAAGCTTCTGGCTTCTGCTTTGGCCTGGCCCAGCCCTGGTCACTGTGGCCACCTGGGGAGTGGACCAGTGGATAGAAGAGCACTCTCTCTTGTTCTCTCTGTGACTCTTTCAAATAAATAATTCAATTTTCTTTCTTTCTTTCTTTCTTTTTTTTTTTTTTTTTTTTTTGAAAGGCAAAGTGGACAGTGAGAGAGAGAGACAGAGAGAAAGGTCTTCCTTTTGCCGTTGGTTCACCCTCCAATGGCCGCGCTGGTGCACCGCGCTGATCTGAAGGCAGGAGCCAGGTGCTTCTCCTGGTCTCCCATGGGGTGCAGGGCCCAAGCACTTGGGCCATCCTCCACTGCCTTCCCGGGCCACAGCAGAGAGCTGGCCTGGAAGAGGGGCAACCAGGACAGAATCTGGCACCCCGACCAGGACTAGGACCCGGTGTGCCGGTGCCGCAGGTGGAGGATTAGCCTAGTGAGCCGTGGCACCAGCCAATAAATAAATTTTCTTAAAAAAGTAATCATACAGGTGACTCCTGTGAATTGGGCCCTGTACGTGAGGCTTAGCAAAAAATCTATCACATTTCTACAATAGATAATTTAAGAAAATTATATAAAATAAAAATAAAATAAAATAAAATGCAAAGGTTCATTATGGAATAGGTTAAATAATGAATTTGGATTCAACTAACAATGACAATTAAGGAAGAACCTCCCATCAGCGACTCCAAGAGGAACACACGTTGTGTTCCGTGCAGCCCATGAGCAGCGCTACAGCCGGCAGCAGCGCCCACTGCAGGTGCTGGGCCTTCGGTCGGGGGAGCAGACCTGCCAGTGTGCTGTGATGGGAAGGGCAGGAAGGCAGCCTGGCCTTCCTCCGGACGCTGCTCACTGTGGACGCGCTCATTTTTTTAAGTGAACAAGGCAGCGCCGTGAGAGGATGATTTAACTCAGCACTGCCCTCTCACGAGCGTGTGGGGGCACACAGACAGTGGGGCCAGTCTACACGCCACACAGTCTACACCAGTCTACACGCCACACGACGCAGGCTGCACCAGGCACAGGGTCTTATCCAAAGCACGCAAAACCACATCAGTCCAAACTTATTAACCCCACATAGCTAAAGGAGTGTGGCAATGACAATGACACTGAAGTGAGCACTGTGTCAAAACACCCTCAGAGGACAAATGCTGGCCTCTGAGGGACCCTCCCAGAAACCTGCAGGAGAAGAAAAAAGGGTCCCTAAGCTGTTAGCTGCGGTCAGCAGTGAGCGGGAGGAGCGTGGGGTCTCCAGCAGTGGCTTAGAACAAGCCTTCCTTCCTCTCAGGTCAAGGGAAAGACCCTTCACTTGATGAGGACGACAGCCACAGTGGCTGACGGGGGACGTCAGCACTGAAAGCACCCCACCCCCACCCCCACCCATCCCCAGATGCTAACCCCAACGGGAGCACCACCCCAGAGGCTGTTACCGCATCGTTGTTTACTTCCAAGGGCTCCTGGGGACCTGGGCTGGAACCACTCAGGTAATCCTGACACAGTGTCTTCACCATTTTATGCAGCTCCTCAAATTCCTTATAGACGGCTGGGAAAAAGGGTTTTGCAAGATGGCCCTTTTCAACCTTCATAAAAGATGACCAAAAAATACTTAAGCCTGAGACAATGGTATGGGAAATCTAGCGAGAAATTTAAACAGTGTAAGGATACGAGTTCCTTGGCCCCTCAGCAGCCAATCAGTATCACTCCCAGGCACCCACTGTTGCCCGGGAGACCAGTCTGGCCCTGGGGAGGAGCAGGCCAGAAGACCAACAACCCTTGGGGTGATGGCCACAGTGGCCAAGGCAGCAGGAGCGAGAGCAGAAAGGCCACGGGGCAGGCTGGGCCTGGGGCTGCTGAAGGAAGCCAACATCATGGGGTGGGGGGGTGCCCGAGCTGGATTGACGGGTGGGCTCAGAGGGCAAGAGGCTGGGCTGACCGGGACCAGGGCAGGCCCCAGCTGGCCTCAGCTTCCCGCCTCGTACAGTAAAAGCTGACAACGGGGAGGCGAACGGGCTGCCAAGAGACCTGGCCACGCAGTCCCTGGCCACTGCAGCAGGCACAGACGCATGACCCACAGGGAACTGACCGCAACGGCCTGGCTCTCCTAACACAAGGGGGAAGGATGGCTTCCCAAACAAGGTCACGGCCTCCCCTTACCTTCATCAGGAGAAATTCATACAGGGTCACCGCCCGAGCCAGCTGGGGCAGAGCCAGCTCCACGAGGTCCTCCGGGTCACACTGCTGCAGAAGCTAAAAAGAAAAGAAAAGAAAAACACTTGGCATAGTCAAAAATCTCCCATGAATTTTCCAAGAGCTAACAAGTGGATACAACACAGAATATAAAACACAGAAAGTCCCCCCAAAACCCAGCAACTAGGTGACGTAAAACACGTTGCTTTATTAAGTCTCTCACTTGTCTGCCCGTTAACAACATACCAGGATCAATTCTGGGTTCAAAGTTTGCGTGACCCATAACAAGCACTGGGTCCTGGGTACCAGACCCCAGAGACACAGCAATGAAGAAACGTGCGTCCTGCCCCGGCAGGGAGCACCACCCAGGAGCCCCAAGGAATAAGCTGTGAGTGTCGGGGCTCAGGTGCAGAGAGAGCAGTGAGGCCGCAGGTGGCTCCTGGGGCACTGCCAAATGAGGTCTCGGGGAACCTGGGCCAGGGGAGTGGGGCCCGAGGGTTTAGATTTCTTCCTATAGGTGGCAGCACAGTGCTAGCGATGGTGCAGAGAACAGATGGGGAGGCCCCACAGGCAGCAAGTGGTCGAGAGGGGACCCAGATGACAACGGGGGCGGGGGGGGACTGGCAGGGAGGGCACAGTCCCTGGGGTTCAGTGACCACAGGACATGGGCAGAGGTGAGTGAAGGAGTCAAGAGTGGCAGATGAAGCAGCCATGGACAACTCAAGCGTGAGCAGGAAGCATTCGTGGGCTCCGCTCAGCCACGGAAAGTGGAGGATTTCCCAGGACACCAGGTGGAGAGGTTTAAAATGAGAGATCTGAGGCTCCAGAGAAACCTGGGCAGGAAGCAGAGACAAGGGAGCCTGCGGAAACCAAGAGGATGAAGGAGGTCACCCAGGGTCACCAAGAAAAGCACTCGAATGCTGGGGAAAGCTGAGCAAGTCTTAGATACAGAAGTTAGGGGCTGCTGTTGTGGCACAGCGGGTTACGCCACTGCTTGTGACACTGGCATCCCACATCACAGTGCCAGTTCAAGTCCTGGCTGTTCCACTTCTGATCTAGCTCCCCGACATGTGCCTGGGAAAACAGCAGAAGATGGCCCAAGTACTTGGGCCCCTGTCACCCACGTGGGAGACCCTGAAGAAGCCCCTGGCTTCAGATCAGTGCAGCTCTGGCTGTTGCGGCCAATTGGGGAATGAATCAGAGGATGAAGACTGCTCTCTCTGCCTCTCCTCTCTGTGTAAGTCTGACTTTCAAATAAATGAATAAAGCAGGCGGCAGGAACCCAACAACTGAGCCCTCACTGCTGCCTCCCAGAGTCTGCATTAGCGGGAAGCTGGAATCCGGAGTGGAGCCAGACTCGAACCCAGGCACTTGGATGCGGGCACAGGCATCTTGACTGGTAGGTCACTCACCCACGCCACGAGTATTTCACTTTTACATTCAGAAACCAGCAGTGAAAGCGACATACCCCGACACCGAAGCAGCTTTCAAGACCGAGCTGTAAGAGGGACGCACCTGCTGGAGCTCGGCTCGGCCCCTCGACGCCCGCTGCCCCCTTGCTCTGCTCTGCGGGAGGACAGCTGCACCGGCCTCTGCTGCGCTGGGCTCTGCTGGAGTCTCGGGGTCTCCACTTCCTGCACAGCCCAGGTGTGTCTGTGATCCCAGAAGAGCTGCAGGACTTTTGCTTTCTGGCTCAGTCACCAGCACCTCTTCAGCTTCTGTAGACTGCCCATTCTAGACAGTGTTGCACACCCCAAAACAAAATTAAATAAATGTTTTACATACCAGCATAACAATTTTAAAGCAAAACAATGTAAGTTAAAAAACAAGAAACTAGCAAAATTATTTCCTCTTTAATCCAGACACATTAACTACAACCAATGCCGCTTATTTTTCCTAAAAAAAAAAAAAAATACCCCTTTGTGGCTCCCACAAAGAAGGGTGGCAAGAAGAAGGGCCCCTTGAGGCCGGCGCTGTGGCTCAGTAGGTTAATCCTCCGCCTGCAGCACCAGCATCCCACATGGGCGCCAGTTCTAGTCTCAGCTGCTCTTCTGACACAGCTCTCTGCTGTGGCCTGGGAAAGCAGTAGAAGATGGCCCAAGTCCTTGGGCCCCTGCACCTGTGTGGGAGACCCGGAAGAAGGTCCTGGCTCCTGGCTTCAGATTGGCCCAGCTTCGGCCGCTGCGGTCATTTGGGGAAAGAACCAGCGGATAGAAAACTTTTCTCTCCATATCTCCTTCTCACTGTCTGTAATTCTACCTCTCAAATAAATAAATGAAATCTTAAAAAAAAAGAGAGAGAGAGAGAGAAGGGCCGTTCTTCCACCAACGAAGCGGTGACCGAGAGTCCACCGCCAGTATTCACCAGTGCACCCGTGGAGCAGGTTTCCAGAGACCCCACGGGATGGGCTCGCGGCGCAGCGGGTTAAGCAGCTGCATGCGATCTGGCGGTCCATGTCATAGTGTCAGGTCAAGTCCCGGCTGCCCTTCATCTGATCCAGCTTCCTGCTACTGTGCCTACGAAGCAGTGTATGATGGCTCAAGTACTCGGGTCCCTGCCTACGTGGGAGACCTGGATGGAATTCCTGCCTACTAGTTTCAGCCTGGCCCAGCCCCAGCTGTTTTAGTCATCTGGGAAGTGAACCAGTGGATGAAAGAACTATCTGCCTCTCCTTCTCCCTCTTTCAAATAAGAAAAACAAATCTTTTATTTCCTTAAAAAAAGATGTATGTATGTATTTATTTATTTGAAAGGGAGAATAACAGAGAGGCAGAGAGAGTTCTTCCATCCACTGGTTCATTCCCCAGATGGCCACAATGGCAGAGCTACGCTGATCCGAAGCTAGGAGACAGGGGCTTCTTCTGGGTCTCCCAAGTGGGTGCAGGGGCCCAAGGACTTGGGCCATCTTGTACTGCTTTTCCAGGCCATAGCAGAAAGCTGGATCAGAAGTGGAGCAGCTGGGGATAGTCCAAGTCCTTGGGCTCTGCACCCGCATGGGAGACCAGGAGGAGGCACCTGGCTCCTGGCTTCAGATCGCACAGCGCGCCGGCCGTAGTGGCCATATGGGGGGTGAACCAACAGAAGGAACACCTTTCTCTCTGTCTCTCTCTCTCTCTCTCTCTAACTCTGCCTGTTGAAAGAAAGAAAGAAAGAAAGAAAGAAAGAAAGAAAGAAAGAAAGAAGGAAGGAAGGAAGGAAGGAAGGAAGGAAGGAAGGAAGGAAGGAAGGAAGGAAGGAAGGAAGGAAAAGAAAGGAAGGAAGGAAGGAAGGAAGGAAGGAAGGAAGGAAGGAAGGAAGGAAGGAAGGAAAAGAAAGGAAGGAAGGAAGGAAGGAAGGAAGGAAGGAAGGAAGGAAGGAAGGAAGGAAAAGAAAGAAAGAAAGAAAGAAAGAAAGAAAGAAAGAAAGAAAGAAAGAAAGAAAGAAAGAAAGAAAGAAAGAAAGAGAGAGGAGCAGCTGGGACTCCAATCAGTGCCCATATGCAGTGCCAACTTTACCTTTACCTGTTACACAACAGTGCCCCAACAAATCTAAAAAAAAAAAAAAGAAGAAGAAGAAGAAGAAGAAAGAAAGAAAAAAGAAAAAAAAAAAAAAACTCGGGGCCAACACTGTGGCTCAGCAGGTTAAAACCCAAGCCTGTAGTGCCAGTATCCCATATGGGTGCTAGTTCAAATCCCAGCAGATCCACTTCCAATCCAGCTCCCTGCTAAGGAGCCAGAGAAAGCAGTGGAGGATGGCCCAATTCCTTGAGCCCCTGCACCCACTTTGGAGACCCAGAAGCAGCTTCTGTCTCTGGGCTTTGGATCACCTCAGTTCCAGTTGTGGTCATTTGGGGAGCAAACCAGCAAATGAAAGACCTCTCTCTCTCTCTTCTCTCTCTCTCTCTCTACCTCCATCTGTACCTCTTTCTAATAAATTTTTTTAAAAGTATTAAAAAAAAAAAAAAAAAAAAGAACTCATAGGCCAGACTCAGACTGCAGGCCTTGAAGCCCGGTTCTCGCCCCGCAGCAAGCACCCTGCCAGCACTCTGTCTGGGACTTGTTCCAGAGTGACCAACACCCAGTCTACCCTTAGATCCAGACAGACTGGAGCCCCCTCTGCTGTTCCAATATGTTGGCTCCTGCCATTTATCATTCAGGGGAAGGCCACCACACTGTGGGGCAGCCCGAGGCCACCACGTGAGCTGCTGGAGCACTGCTCAGCCCCAGCACTCAGCCACAAAGCTCCCTGCCTTTCCTCCCTGGGGAAGCCTGGGAGCCCCACATGCAGCCGGCGGGCTCCTTGCTGTGCACTGCAATAAATGCCTACTTCACTGGCCCGAGATCAGTGCCTGGCTCTGTACCGGGGCAGCCCCAGCTTCTGTGGTTCTTAGCAATTCTAGCGTATATTCATCACCCTCAGAAAAAACTGTACCCATAAGCAGTTACTCCCCATTCCTCCCTCCCCCAGACCTAGGCAGCCGCTACTTTCTGCCTCCAGAAAGGATTTGCAAGGTCTTTTCTCTCTTTCTCTTTTTTTTTTTTCAGTTTATCTACTATTAATTTTACTAGTGTTTATCTATCTACCTATAGTTATGCATTTAAGAAGCAGAGAGATGAGAGAGAGAAATCTCTGCCTACTGGTTTACTCCCCAGATGCCTGCAATGGCCAAGGCTAAGCTGGGTGTGGCCTGGACCCTGGGTCTCCCATGTAGGTGGCAGGGACTCAGATGCTTCAGCCATCACTGGCTGCCTCCCAGGGAGCACAGACACTTAAGGAGGAAGGAGGGGAGACACACGGATCTCAGCAGCTGAGGGAGAGAGCCCCTGGACCCCAGGGCTTCCCCGCCGTCTGGATGGCACCTTTCCCAAGGCCAGAGGCCTGCATTCAGGAAGTCAAATGTGCAGAAATTGCTTTTACGGTGGGAGTGTCACTACTGTAGGAGTGGAAAGTGCCAGGCAGCCTGGTGTGAGACAGCCCGGGGCACGCCTGTTGTCCCCAGGGATAACAATAACCCTCTCACTCTCAAAGTGTCCAGGACGACAAGCCCCATGGTTACTGCAGCAGAAAAACAACCCCCGCTGGCTCTTAATTCAAACAGATCGCTGTTACCCAGCATAGGTTAACAAGGCCAAACAAACAAGTTTATTTTATATCTACGTGGAAGACACCCAGAGAATGAGTAGTTCTCCAAGAAGCGGCTTTGATTTCCCACTTAAATGCCATCTTCCACAAAGGGCAGTAAACTGTCAGAGAGTCAAGAAGGGAAAGAACTTTCCGCCCCTGTGAGAGGGCATGCCACCTTGCGGGGAGGCAACTGGCCGAGGCTGGACCGCACTGCTGGTTAATGTAACGCAGGCTCCTCTGGTATTGCTGTTTGCCAGGAGAAAGACAAGGCCCGTGTGGGGTAGGTGTGTGGGTGTGTAAGAAAAGCAAAAAGAAAACCAGGCAGATGAGAATTTGTACAGCTGAGTGAGGAGAGACCTAGATGCCTGAAACAACCAGACGTTTAAACATCAAGTCCCTCCTGACAACATGGTGGGGGAGATCAGGACCCGGGGATCTCCGGTCCAGTGATAATCCGCCCCGGGACATCCCAGGGGAGTCTCGCTGGCCAGCGCCCAGGGGCCTTTCAACTGGGTAACACTGTGTAGTGACGCCCGTGGGCGGGGAGCAATCACACCAGGCAAGCTTTCCTCCTGGCAACCTCTCGGGAGAGGAAGAGCCGCAGGGAAGCTTGCCCCGCACCCATAAAACCGCAGTGTGAACTCAGAGGCGGCACTCGGTTTTCTGCCAGTCTGCCCCTCTAGCCTGTCAGGGGCACTCCCGCATTAAACGTAGCGAAGTTAATCGTCACTCTCCGTCTCTCCTCTGAATTCTTTTCCTAAGAGGAGACGAGACCCTCTGTTCCAGCGGTACCAGTGACACCGTCTCCGGCCACTGAGGGTCGAAAGCTGCCCTCAGTGGCTAACTTGTTCTCCCAGGACACCTTCTGTTCTCATGCATCTGTTTTGTAGGTCTTGGTCCTGCTCCCGGGAAAATAAGGGGAGGGCAGAGCTTTCTGCACCTGCCGCTTCTTCATCGTCTCCTGCTCAAAGCTCTTCCTGTGGGGGGCACATTCTGAGCCCCTGTCGCTCCCCGTCTTCGTGGAGGAACGACACAGGACCCTGCGCTGTTCTTTTGTCTGCTCGGCCCTTCCCGGGTTTGCTGCTGGTTCTTCCCGGGTTGGCTACTGTCCCTTCCACCTCCGTGGAAGGGCGGTTCCCCCTGCCACTTTCCCCACTTCCGCGGGGGAGCGGCACACCGCCGGCTGGCTCTCTCGGGGGCTGCACAGGTGTTCCTTCAGATAGATGTTCCTGGTGCATGTTGTCTCTCTCCTCCTTTATAGTCCTCTTCCACCAATCCCAACTCTGCTACCCACACGCTGAGTACGCTGCTCTCCTCCAATCAGGAGCAGGTCCTACAGTTTATTGGTTGAACTGGAGGCAGCTGTGTAGAAGCTGTTTTCCTCCTCTCCCAGCACCATATTGTGGGAGAGCAGATGCATAGAATAAGTCTTAATTCCAGTAACTTAGTCTAGTCGAGTTCCTCCCAGTTGCTCCCCACAAGCCCCCACGTCACTGGCCCTAGAACAACTGAAGACAGGTAGAACGGCGTCTGAAAAGCGGGGGCTGTGCCAGCTCCAAGAGGCACAGAGCGTTTGGAAAGAGGCACCCTGGTCCAGAGTGCGGGCTCTGCAGGCGGAGGGCCTGGCTCCAGTCCTCTGCACACCCAGGTGTGTTGCGCCATGAGAGGATGTGTCCCTAAAAAGCTGACTGCTGTATCTGAGCAGTGGCTCGACAGAGCTACTGGGCATATCTCCCAGCTTTGTCTGGCTTGGGTGATATGCATACGGGGTCTGTTTTGTCTTAGTTATTGGAGCGGCCTTGCAAGAGTTAACAATCTTACCAGTCAGGTCAACGTGGCTGGGGTGATGTGCCTGTGAGGTCTGTTAGGTCTCAGTGACCTGGGGCAACTCTGAGTGACCCTTTGTTCTTTGTCCATCTGTCCCTTACCCATTCCCAGAAATGCCCTTCTTAGAATTATCCAGCAGTCCTTTTCCGACCCTCTCTGGTGCTAAAGGTGCTTTTAACCAATCATATCCCCCAAAGCCACTGTCTCAGTTCACACCGACGTACGCCCCTGTGTAACACATGAATTCTGGCTAGAATCGTTCTCAGAACTCATTGAAAGTAGCTGGGCTTGCGAATCCCAGACCTAGCTCACTCATATTCTGCCCTGGAATAAAACTTGTTAACCTGTTTGCTGATCCTGTCTGTTTCTTTTTTATTTATTTATTTATTTATTTTTACAGGCAGAGTGGACAGTGAAAGAGAGAGACAGAGAGAAAGGTCTTCCTTTTGCCATTGGTTCACCCTCCAATGGCCACCGCGGCCGGCGTGCTGCGCTGATCTGAAGGCAGGAGCCAGGTGCTTCTCCTGGTCTCCCATGGGGTGCAGGGCCCAAACACGTGGGCCATCCTCCACTGCACTCCCGGACCATAGCAGAGAGCTGGCCTGGAAGAGGGGCAACCGGGACAGAATCTGGCGCCCCGACTGGGACTAGAACCCGGTGTGCCGGCGCCACTAGGCGGAGGATTAGCCTAGTGAGCCGCGGCGCCGGCCCGATCCTGTCCGTTTCTGTCCACAGCCTCTCAGCCTCATCTCAAACAGGATCTCTACACTAGTGCTCCTACAGCATTAAGCAATGAACATGGGCGTGGGGGGGGGGGGGGTTGGGGTGGCGTTGTGGCACCACAGGTTAAGCTGCCATCTGCGATGAACGCTGGTTCATGTATCGGCTGCCCCACTTCCAACCCAACTCCCTGCTGATGTGCCTGGGAAAGTGGCAGAAGTTGACCCAAGTACTTAGGTTCCTGCCACCCACGTGGGAGTACTGGATGGAGTTCCTGGCTCCCAGACCTTGACTATTACGGGCGTTTAGGGAGTGAACCAGAGACAGAAGATGGAAGATATTGCTCTCTCTTTCTCTCACCTCTCTCTGCGTGTCCTTCAATTAATCTTAAAAAAAAAAAAAAAAAAAAGAATTTCAGGAACTAATTAGAATCAGATAAGGAAGCTACTGTCAAAAGGACTGTCACTGGGGCTGGTGCTGTGGCATATTGGGTAAAGCCACTGCCTGCAGTGCCAGCATCCCATATGGGCGCCAGTTCGAGTCCTGGCTGCTCCACTTCTGATCCAGCTCTCTGCTGTAGCCTGGGAAAGCAGTAGAAAATGGCCCAAGTCCTTGGGCCCCTGCACTTGCATGGAAGACCCAGAGGAAGCTCCTGGCTTCTGGCTGCGGATTGGCACAGCTCCAGCCATTGCAGCCACTTGGGGAGTGAACCAGCAGATGGAAGACCTCTCTCTCTCTCTCTCTCTCTCTGCCTCTCCTTCTCTCTGTGTAACTCTGACTTTCAAATAAATAAACAAAAACAAATCTTTAAACAAACAAACAAACAAAGTGGCTGCTACTTGGTCAGGAATTTAGGCACCACCACATTAGTAAAATGGCACCATCTTCCTAAGCCAGCCTTGCTTACTAGAAGTCAGGTGACCACACGGCCCAATCACGAGCACCAGCTCCACCCCCACCCTGGTGGGATTTGCTGCTCCTACTTCCTCACCTCTGCAAAGCTACAGAAGGCCTATTCCCCCCTACAGGCTGCTGTTGTTCTCTCGTGCTCGGGGAGGCAGCCTGTCAGTTCCCCACACCCGACTATAAACCTTTTCCCTTCCTCCAGTGTCTGGTGTGTTTCATAGTGGCCTTTCCTTTCAGCCACCTGTCAAGAGTCAAGCTGGGCATGGGAACTGACCTTGGGAATCTGCGGCTAAGTCCATCATTACCCTAACCTCCCCCACTTCCCTTTCACCCTTTAATAAGCCCTCCTGCCAGCTCACAAATTGGGAAAAGCACTGTTAAGACAAAAATGTCTACTGTTCCCATAAGACTACCAGCCTCGAATAGACCAGTCTTTCTAGCATTAGCATCAGTTCTTGTCTCTGGCAAATCAGTCCGCAAGAGACGAGCAGCACAGACCCATTTTATCCTGACAGACTCCAAGAGGGGGAAGAGACCAAGAGGGAGGACTACACATTGCACATCTGGGAAACAGATAACAGACAAAATGGACACATTCCTAGAGCACAGAATGTACCAAGACTAAATCACAAAGAAACAAAAAACCTGAATAGTTATTTGTAATTTTGTCAAAGGAAAAAATTACAAAATTTAGCTTAAACATTCTTATTCGTCTATTTTTGATTCTAGAACCGGGGGCAACACTTCATTCCATAAAATATAAGATGTTGGTTTTTATAGACAGAAAAGGGGGAAGAAAATATAAGTCAGAAAAAGATTGATTATTACAAAGTTACTTTCTTTCTAAGGTAGGGACTAGGAGACAGAGCAGTAGAAAAATAACTGAGGGGTTAAGTCTGGCTACTTCAGGTTACCTTTTTTGTGTGTAAGGATTAAAGCAGAGGGAACTTCCTTATCATACCAATTAAAACTGGCCTGATGGGGCTGGCGCTGTAGAACAGCGGGTTAATGCCTTGGCCTGAAGCGCCGCCATCCCATATGGGCATCGGTTCTAGTCCCAGCTGCTCCTCTTCCGATCCAGCTCTCTGCTGTGGCCTGGGAAAGCAGTGGAAGATGGCCCAAGTCCTTGGGCCCCTGCACCTACATAGGGGACCCGGAAGAAGCTCCTGGCTCCTGGCTTTGGATCGGCACAGCTCCAGCCGTTGTGGCCAACTGGGGAGTGAACCAGTGGATGGAAGACCTCTCTCTCTCTGTCTCTCCTCGCTCTGTAACTCATTCAAATAAATAAATAAATCTTTTAAAACAAAACAAAAAAAAAAAAAACTGGCCTGTTTGGGAAATGTGGCTGTTATCTCTCTAATCCTGAAAGAAAAGAGATAAACAGTCAAGTTTCAGCTTGGTGACAAGAAAATTTCATGTGATTCCATTTGATTTTAGCTTAATCTGTTGGGGCCCAGTGCAGATTAGTCCAAACAGTGGCCTCCTGTAATTTTTTCTTAAACGTATATCGTGTAAGGAGACTGAATTAGTAAACAAAACTCCAGCGGCAGGAGCCACTGCTAAATGACACACCCACCAGCTGCCATGACAGGACAACTTGGGTCACATGAGAAGTAAAAAGCTAGATGCTGGGGGCCAGCGCTGGGGCTTAGCAGGTAAAGCCACCTCCTGCAGTGACTGCATCCACTTCCGATCCAGCTCTCTGCTATGGCCTGGGAAAGCAGTAGAAGATAGCTCAAGTCCTTGGGCTCCTGCACCCATGTGGGAGACCCGGAAGAAGCTCCTGGCTTCGGATTGGCCATCTGGGGAGTGAACCAGTGAGTGGATGGAAGACCTCTCTCTCTGCCTCTACCTTTCAAATAAATAAATAAATAAATATTTTTAAAAATTGTTTAAATATAAAGAAGAAAAGCTAGATTCTGGGAAATCTCCATCTACTTCCCAGAAAAACCTTGAACATCCTTGCCCTTATTAAAATGTACTGCAGGGCCAGAACTGTGACACAGGTTAAACCTCTGCCTGCAGCACCGGCATCCCATGTGGGCAGGGTTCAAGTCCTGGATGCACCACTTCCGATCCAGCTTCCTGCTAATGGCCTGGGAAAAAGCAGCAGAAGATGGGTCAAGTGCTTGTGCCCCTTCCAGCCACATGGGAGACCCAGAAAAAGCTCCCGGCTTCGGCCTGGCCCAGTCCCAGCTGTTGTGGTCATCTATGGAGTGAACCAGTGGATAGAAGGGTAGAAGATCCCTCTCTCCCTCTCTCTCTCTCTTTGTCCTTCTCCCTAAAAAACAGTTTTTTAAAAAATAAAAAAATAAAAAAACATAAAAAATAATGGTTATGATAGTAAATTTTGTGCTGTGTCCTCTCCCACAATAAAAAAATTCTGGGAAAAAATGCTGACATAGTAATACAAATACATAGAGACTCACACCTGCTTGTTCTAGCGGGCATTTCAGAAGGGGCAACATGGGGAGCGGTCACGTTAAGTAGCCTGTAACTGTTGCCACTCTAGTAAGCTAAGCTACAGATTGCCACCCCCGAGCTGACTTGCCAGCACCACTGCTGACCGGATCCTAAGAACTAGCGGCTGTCTTAGGGCCAGAAGACACACATCTGCTCTCCTTTGGAAGCAGCACAGACAATGTCAGGGGTACTGAGTGGCCCCTGTAATGACTGTGGTTCTGCCTGAAGCCCCATCAGATTCGGTAAAGGTTAATGTAAGGAAAATGCACCTGCCACCCAGGCAGGAAGTTACCTGTAGTCCATGGTGCGCTGACTCTGCCCCTCTGGCACAGCAGGACAGGGGCCCTTCCTCCGTGGGCGTCGCCAGCTCTGGGGAGGTCAGGCTCACCGGCCCTGCCGCCACGCACCCCTGGATCAGGCTTCCGTGGGCTGTCTCAGGTAACCTCCCCAGGCAGTGGCCTGGGTTAAGTTTAAAATGCCGGGCCAGGCCCCCCTTCCCTATGTACGACTTTTCGCAGCTCTGACACTGAAATGTTTTGGGCCTCAGGGAGCAGCTGGCTAAGTCAAAGAGCGCCTGCTTCTCCCGCCGGTCGTCGTCTTCTTCCACGCTCAGTTCTGAGTAGTCGTCAGAATCGGACACGTGCCCGTCCGCCAGATCTTCCGTCTTTATGAACTTGTAGTCTTTGGCTTTGTACTTAGGAGGGCGAGATATCCGTCCGGAACGCGTTTTCACTTTGAGAGACTTCTTCAGTTTCTCAGTATGCTCTGTAGGTGAGTTGGAAATAAATGAATGTGCTGAACTGGCTGAGGCAGACGTTACTGCAGGTGGGCCAGGGGCTCTCTTGGCAGGGACTGGCCTCTGGACCAACAACTGAGGAGCGGGGGGCTGTGGCCTGGCCTTCAGGAGTGGTTGTCCTCTCAGCAGCTGAGGGCTGGTGGCGCGGGGCCCCACCAGGCAGGGATTCCTCCCGGGCAGCTGGTCCTGTCTTGCTGCTTGGGGCCGGATGGTGGCCAGGACGGTCACTGGCCTTTCCTGATCTCGATCGCCCCCAGACGTCACCCTGACGCAAATGGCTTCCAGTTGCTTAAACATGGAAAGAGAAGAAGCAGCATCATGCTCATTAAATATCTCCCAACTTTGCTCTCATTGGCAAATCTATTATTAAAGTTCTTTCTGAATTATAAAAGATAGCTTACATTCAAATGCTGTACACATCGTATTTGTGCTATTTCGTGACTTTTTCAAACCTTTTTGACAATGGAGGCATATTTCATACAACTTAGTACACAAGTACAGAAACATCTGCATATACAAATGAATTAAGACTCACGAAATTACCTAACAGTGTGACAGACTCCCCCTCTGATGGGCACTGTGCTACATCATATATATATAAACATTGCACAGATTCCATATACACAGATTTAGGAACATGGTGACGCTCCCAACCCCACCTTCCCTCCTGCCCACGCTCTCACCCTCTCCTACATCATTCAAAAAAAAAAAAAAAGTCCGGCACCGCGGCTCACTAGGCTAATCCCCCACCTGCTGCGCCAGCACACCGGGTTCTAGTCCTGGTTGTGGCACTGGATTCTGTCCCAGTTGCCCCTCTTCCAGTCCAGCTCTCTGCTATGGCCCGGGAGTGCAGTGGAGGATGGCCCAAGTGCTTGGGCCCTGCACCCCATGGGAGACCAGGAGAAGCACCTGGCTCCTGCCTTCGGATCAGCGTGGTGCACCGGCCATTGGAGGGTGAACCAACGGCAAAAGGAAGACCTTTCTCTCTGTCTCTCTCACTGTCCACTCTGCCTGTAAAAAAAAAAAAAAAAAAAACACACACACACACACACACACACACACACACACACTAGTCACAAGACAGATATGTGGTGCAGCGCCTGATGCCGCTGGGCCCCTTGCGCCCCACGTCACAGGGGCTGGGGCTGGTCCCCTCTGTGCTCTCACAGCAAATGCGCACCCTGAGAAGCAGCAGGGACAGGCCAGGTGCTGGGGCCGCCACCCATGAGAGACCCAGATGGACTTCCAGGTTCTTGGCTTCAGCCTGGCCCAGCCCTGATGCTAAAGGCATTTGGGGAGTGAATCAGAATACGGAAAATCTCTGTCACTCTGCCTTTTGAGTAGATGAAAATAAGTATTTTTTAAAATAAAGAAGAAAATCCTTCTTTATAGTTTTATCCATGTGTTTCTACTTCGAGTTTTGAGTACTAGGCTCTAAACTGGACTCAGTTCAATACACAACGTCTAAAAAGGTGTTTTTCATTAAATTCTGGAAACCAAAAAGCCAAAAAGAGCAACGTGCCGCGGTCCTTACTGCCCATCCCACCTCGGCCAACACTGCCAGTTCCAGTGAGGCCCCTGCCATTCTCCCAGCCCGCACACCCTCCCCTCACCCCAGCCTGAATGTGCTACTCCTCGTTCTCACGCACTTTTCATACTTACACTGCACACAGAGCTACCTCTAAAGACAGAGCTCTGCTTTGATGCGATTCTGGCCTGTTCAACACGCTAGCAGCCCCTGTATCCTGATGAGCACTTTCCCCCACCTGGTGACTCGTCCACGCCGGCACACGTGGCTCACGTGGCTCCCGCGGTTCCCGCGAGCGCCCCACCCTCCTGCTGACCGACAGGTCCCCAGCCCTCTGCTCTGGCCCTTCAGGGAGGCTGTGTGTACATGTGTGTACATGTGTGTTTCCGTAGGCAACATAACTAACAGTGGGGCTGCTTATCTTAACATCCTTAAACAAAACCCAGACTGGTGTGTGGCACCGCAGGTTGGGCCGCCTGCAACGTGCGTCCCACAAGAGTGCGGTCGAGTCCTGGTGGCTCCACTTCCAAACCGGCTCTCTGCTAACGCACCTGGGAAAGCAGCCCAACTACTTGGGCCCCTACCATCCATGTGGGAGACCCGGATGGAGTTCCAGGCTCCTGGCTTCAGCCTGGCCCAGCCTCAGCTTTCACAGTCATTTGGGGAGTGAACCATAGGACTCAAGATTGATCTTTCCCTCTCCATCTGTAGCTCTGACTTGTGAATAAATAAAAAAAAATTTTTTTTTGACAGGCAGAGTGGACAATGAGAGAGAGAGACAGAGAGAAAGGTCTTCCTTTGCCGTTGGTTCACCCTCCAATGGCTGCCGCGGCTGGCGCGCTGTAGCCGACGCACTGCGCTGATCCAAAGGCAGGAGCCAGGTGCTTCTCCTGGTCTCCCATGGGGTGCAGGGTCCAAGCACCTGGGCCATCCTCCACTGCCTTCCCGGGCCACAGCAGAGAGCTGGCCTGGAAGAGGGGCAACCGGGACAGAATCCGGCGCCCCGACCGGGACTAGAACCCGGTGTGCTGGCGCCGCAAGGCAGAGGATTAGCCTAGTGAGCCGCGGCGCCGGCGTGAATAAATAAATCTTAAAAAAAACAAAACACACACAAACAAAACTTTAAATGCATGTGTTTATGTGTTTTTAACCCAGCAATTCCCTTTGAGTCCATGAACACAAAGATGCATATTATTTTTCTCTTCTTTTAAGATTTATTTATTTGACAGAGTTACAGGGAGAGACAGAGATCTTCCATCCGCTGGTTTACTCCTCAAATGACAACAGCTGCGGCTGGGCCAGGCAGAAGCCAGGAGCTTCTTCTGGGTCTCCCACACGGGTGCAGGGGCCCAAGCACTTGGGCCATTTTCTGCTTTCCTTTGTTTCATTTTACTGGTGGTCACTTAGGATATTCCCCTAAGGTCTTGCGGGTGTTATGAGATAACGCTATTGCAGCAGTGCCCTCTCACCTCTGCTCCTAGACCCTTGCTCACACACACACACACACACACACACACACACACACACACATATATATGATTAAGCTTAATCTGTAAATTACATTCAGGAAGAGATTAACAACTAATGATGAGTAGAGTAAGTATGTAATTCTAGTTTACTAAAGGTTTTTTTTTTTTTTTTTTTTTTTTTTTACAGGCAGAGTGGACAGTGAGAGAGAAAGGTCTTCCTTTTGCCGTTGGTTCACCCTCCAATGGCCGCCGCGGCTGGCGCGCTGCGGCCGGCACACCGCGCTGATCGATGGCAGGAGCCAGGAGCCAGGTGCTTTTTCCTGGTCTCCCATGGGGTGCAGGGCCCAAGCACCTGGGCCATCCTCCACTGCACTCCCTGGCCACAGCAGAGAGCTGGCCTGGAAGAGGGGCAACCGGGACAGAATCCGGCGCCCCGACCGGGACTAGAACCCGGTGTGCCGGTGCCACTAGGCAGAGGATTAGCCTAGTGAGCCGCGGCGCCAGCCCTAAAGGTTTTTTAACATGAATTGTTTACTTCTCTAATTTTCCATTTAATATTTCATTTCATTTATTCAAAGGCAGAAAGATCAGAGTCCTCACTGCTGGTTCACTCCCCGAATTCCTGCGACAGCCAGAGCTGGGCCAAAGCCAGGGACCCGACCATCTGAACCGGAGAGCACGGAGCAGAAGGCTGGGACGAGACCGCGGGCCTCTCGCGTGGAGGCCAGTGTTCCCTGTGCGTGCTTCACTGCTGGGCCAAATGCCCACCCCCGTTCAGTATTTGCAGACCACCGCTGACTGCAGGGAACTGAAGCCCCAGGGGACCACTGTAGAAGAACGCCCACACCCCTCTCAAGCCCCGTGTTCAAGGATTACCACAGTGGCAAAGCTGGTCTAAGGATTCACCTGCAGTCCAGACTAGTCTACTGTGTGGATGCTGTTCTTGTGTCTGGAACTTTGTTGTATGTTACTGCATTCAGCAAAATGTTACTGGGCATCTCTGGGTGCTAAACAAACACGGTAGCCAAGCTCTCCGCACCCCGGGGTGCTGAGTGGTTCCCCTGCAGACCCTGCTGAATGGGGTCTCTGGGGTGAAGCCTGTTGAAAGCTCCAGTGATGATTCTGCAAGCAAACGAGGTTCCCAAGGCCAGAGAACAAGGCTCCCAAAGCCAGAGAACAAGGCTCCCAAGGACAGAGAACAAGGCTCCCAAGGCCAGAGAACAAGGCTCCCAAGGACGGAGACAGGAGCAGCATGGGTGTGGTAGGCTTCCCAAAACAGACCCTGTTCAAGGTGTGCCTGGAAGGCTGAGAATTTTTAACAGGTGAAAAAAGGCAGTGTTGATGTAAAAACAAACAAAACCCACAGGCGAATGCATGGGCGCTAGAAGGGATGTGTTGGCTGGAACTAGGAATGTCTCCAGGGGGCAGGAAGAGGCAGAGCCTCCACCTGACCCACCAGAGGGTGTCCACTGGCCTATGCTCCTGGTCCACACTCCCCCATGCCACCCCCACAGTGAGCCACTGCACTTTCTGCTTTGGTTGCCTCCATGCAGCCCCACGCCCACACCAGAGACTCCTCTCCAGCGCCACCCTTCCAGACCCAGGTCAGATATCACCTCTCCGAGTCACTTCTCGGCCAGAAGTAAGCCCCCTTCCTCTAAATGCATTCGATTCTTTATCAGGATTTCCAGCTTTCTACCTTGACTAGAATTACCTGGGGGGCCGGCGCCGCGGCACAGCAGGTTAAGCCTGCATCCCATACCACAGTGCTTGCGATGGAGCCTGACCCGGCTCCCTGCTAATGTGCCTGGGAAGCAGCGAGGATGGCCCAAGGACTTGGGCCCCTGCACACATGTGGGAGACCAGGATGGAGTCCCTGGCTCCTGGCTTCAGCCTGGCCCAGCCCCAGTTGTCACAGGCCTTTGAGGAATGAACCTTTGTCTTTCTCTACTGCCACTCTGCCTTTCAAGTAAATAAACAAAACAAGTTATCTAGGTCATGTTTTACTTCCTGTTAGTTCAGGAGTTCCTTAGGGGCACGGACACACCTGGTTTGCCTCTGTGGCCTCACGGCACAACTGGGGCCAAGCGTCCCGGCAGACAAGTACAAGAGTGAGTGCTCGCAGGACGCGTCACCCTCCGACAGGTCAGCTGGGGAGCAGAGCTCTATCACGCTGCCTAGCCTCATTCCGTGTGCTTTCATCCGATGGGAAACCTGCCTCTTGGGGCCTTCATCCGAAGCTGTCACACTGAATTCAGAAAGCAGCGGCCACGTTTGGCGGGGAGGACGCGGGCCTGCTGGGCTGGGGGCAGCCACTCGGAGTGTGTCTCCCACCCATAAATGCCGACACACAAACTCTACTGCGTGGCTACCAAACTAGCAAGAGGCCCAGCGGCTGTGCCAGGGCTGGATGGGTGGCACCGGCAGGCTCCTGACTCACACGCGCTGTGCAGTCCGGGGGGGGGGGGGGGACTTGCTTTTCCAGGAGAGAATCCGAGGGAGAGGCTCACTCAGGGATCCGCCCCTCCTGCAGGCGTGGAAAACAAACCCGCAGAGGCTGCAGCCAGCGCCGTGCCCCCGGGAAGTGCGGTGTGGGGAGGACGGGCCTATCATCTTCCCACACTTCAGGGGCAGCCCCCTCGTCCCCAGGGCCGGCTAAGGTGCGGCCCGAGCAGCCGGCCGAGTCTGCGCTCCGGCCGCAGCAGCTCTCGTGGCGACTCCGGGGGAGGAGCGATCCTTCACTTGCAGCCCGGCGCTGAAGGGCAACGTGGTCTTCGGCGGGACTGGAGGCCGGGCTCGGGGCTCGGGGCTCGGGCATTCTAGTACCAGCTCCCTAGCCCCCGAGAGCCGCGTGCCCGGGAAGGAGAGCCTCCGAGGGCGGGTGCTTGCTCAGGGAAGGGGTGAATGAGTGAATGAAATATGTGTAGCACACAGAGTGCTCGCACCTATCCCGGCCACCGAGTGCGTACCAGGTGCTGCGCTGGGCAGGCGGCTGGATTCCGTCCCAGGGCCGGGCCTGGACGCCTACTGTCCTCCACCTGCAAGACCACGCAGGCCTCGGCCCCGGGGTCAGGCCCACGGAACCGCCCACCCTAAGCAGCCCCCTGCTCACCCCCACGGCCTGCCTTCCGCCGCTCACTGCCTGCGGTCAGAAGGTGTCCGGTGCGTGGACAAAGGGCCCTGGGAAGGGCTGGACAGCGCGGGGCAGAGCTGCGGAAGCGGAGGCGGCACGAGGGCGGCCCGAGCAGGGGGTCCTCCCCGAGCGAGGCGCCTCCCAGTGCTGGAAACGCCGCGGCGGCGGCAGGTGCGCCGACCGCCGTCCCCGAGGGGCCTGGCTTGGGGACGCCCTGGAGCCCCGGAGGAGGCCGGGCGGCTCCGAGGGCGCCGCACCTGCCCGGCCGCGGGGCCTCAGCTTCCCCACGTCCCCCGGCGCCTCACCTGGGGCGGCAGCAGGCGCGGCGGGCGCGGGGGCTCGGCGCCGGGACCCCGCTGCAGGGCGGCCTGCTGGGCCGCGTCCCGCAGCCGCCGCGCCGCGTCCTGCAGCACCACAGGCGCCTTCGTCACCTGCTCCAGGACCCGCCGCAGCTGCTCGGGGCCCAGCGGGGCCATGCGTGCGGCGCTGCGGCTCTGGCCCGGAGGGGCCCGGCCGCCGCCGCCCTCAGCCTCCGGCTGCGCGTCTGCCATGGCGGCCGACGCGGGGACTCGAACTCAGGGCTCCGCGCGACGGCGACCGGGATGTGCGTCACCTGGGAACGGGGCGGGCTACGAGTGCCCCGTGGGCCAAGACACCTCGGAGGGCGCCCGCGCGCGGCCGGGGGCTCCGTGGGCGGGGCCTGCGTCGGCACCGCCCCCTGCCCGACAGCCGACCTCGCCGAGGAAACCAGGCCTGCGTTTCCTGTCGCCTGCTGTGTGGACGTGTTTGTGTAGAGGTCGCCTCTCCGAGCTGTCCCGGGGAAGGTTCTCACCGCGGCGTCCGCGGAGTCCTGGGCCTCCCCGGGGTTCTGACTTAATAGGTCCCAGAGGGGACTGCAAGTTCGCACTTCTAGCAAGAGTGCATCCCAGCCCCTCAGTTATTCCCAGGCGGACTCCCCCACCCTTACCCACACAGGGCAGAGACGTTACATGGTTCCTGCCTGGCTCAGGGAAGGGGTGAATGAATGAATGAGTGCATGAATGAGTGCATGAATGAGTGCATGGATGGGCTGGTCCACGTGGCAGGCCGCCATCCTGCCGCACTGCCCCCTTCCCTCTTAGCCGTCTCCCCTGCTGTGTGGCTGCGCTGTCGGTACCACAGCGTCTTGCAGCGGTGGGTCCCTCAGTGCAGGTGTCTCAGCAGCTCTCCCCAAGGCCAACATTGTCAAGCACCTGCACAGCGGGAAGGAGGAGGAAACTCACACTTGCCATTCAGTACCCAGGCCAGCTTTGGAGAAGGTTCTAGAAGACCTTCTCATCATTTTTTTTTTCCTTCATTACACTGCATTCCTGATGCTCCCCGAAGTGTTCCAGAGGGGAGATCATATTTATGGAATTTGTTTCAACAACCCTTTCCCCTTTTTGCTTAAACTTTTTATTATTATTATTATTTGAAAGAGTTACGGAGAGAGGTAGAGAGAGAGAGAGGTCTTCCATCCTCTGGTTCTCTCCCCAGATGGCCGCAATGGCCAGAGCTGCACCGATCCGAAGCCAGGAGCTGGGCAGGTCCGATGCCAGGAATGAGGAGTTTCTTCCTGGTCTCCCACGTGGGTGCAGGAGCCCAAGGACTTGGCCATCTTCTTCTGCTTTCCCAGACAATAGCAGAGAGCTGGATCAGAAGAAGAGCAGCCGGGACTAGAACCGGTGCTCATATGGGATGCTGGCGCTTCAGGCATTAACCCTCTGCACCATAGCACCGGACCCTTTCTTTAATTTTTGAAAGCCCACCCTCAGGGCTAGGCTAGGCCAAAGCCAGGAGACATCTTCCATCCACTGGAATCACAAGCTCCATCCAGGCCTCCCATGTGGGTGCCGGGGCCCAGGTGCTTGGGCTGGCCACTGCTGCCCTGCAGGCACACAGCAGGGAGCTGGCTCAGACGCGGAGCAGCCAGGAGGCAACCCAGCACTCTGGTATACAGTGGTATACACTGGGCCAGCATCCTCCCGGGGGGGGGGGCGCTCTGGGAGGAAACAGGGCTTTGAGGACATGGCTGGGCTCTTAGGGGAACACGGGGCAGATGGACGGCTCCTGACCACGTCTGCTTAGGCGCCGCGGTGCCGACTTCTCTCCAGCCGCGGCAGACTGCGAGCTGCTCCCCGCGAGGGGACTGTGACAGCTGAGTTCCTCGCGGGGCACTCAGCTTTTCAGCAGGTGGGAGATTTCAGAAACCCAGCGCCCTAAGGACCCGCCAGGCCGCGGTGGCAATCTGGACCCCTTCAAATCCAGGCGGGTTGGGGGGGGTAGGCAGCAGCCTATGCGTTGTGCCACGTCTCTGACAAGGTCTGACGTCCAGCCGTGTCCAGCTGGGCAGCCCTGGCTCTCCTGTCTTTCGTGGCGCCCTGGGCACTCGCCAGGGTCTGAAGCACTTGGCACCGCCACTTACAAGTCAGAGGTGCACGCATGCGTGAGCAAAGATGCGTGCAGATGCGGGGGACGCTTTCCACGGAGATTTCTCAAAGCCCGCTGGGTCCTGATATGAAATGGCACCGACCCTCGATAGCTGGTTTGGGTTCAACACAACACACCTGACTATGCCTGAGCCACCCCCGCCCTACGGCTCCAAGAGGCAGAAGCGAGAGGAAGAATCGGAGACCCACGTTCCCTGTGCAGAGCAAAGCAAAGGAAAAAAAAATAAGTTTTTGGATGCTCCCCGGCTGCCGGTCCTCGCGGTCCAGTGCGGGCCCGGGCTGCGGCGGGTGCGCCCGGCAGGCGGGAAGCGGCCTGCGTGCACACGTGTGGGACAGGTGCATCCCGGAGCTGGACTTTCCCCTCTGGGAACTCCGGGGATCCCGCGCCACGAGCGGGCCGCACCTGCTAGCGAACCCGAGCCTGGAGGTTGGGGGGCGCTGGGGGCGCGCGTCCCTTGCATCCGTTCGTGTGACCAAAGTTCCCTTGAAAACGACGGGTGTTTGGTTCGGTTTGGTTTAGGAAACACCGATGGGTTGGGTGCGTATTTTCTTTATGATACAGATGAACCTAGCAAACAGTTTCACTCAAACCCTATATTCAAAAAGTGTTTCACGGCGCGCCCCGTTACCAGGGAAGCCTCCGTGACTCCGCTCTCCGAGGGGGTATTTCCCCGAAACAAACGAAAAAGGAGGCCTTAAAAAGCAGCGCTGGCCCGTACGGGGATCGAACCCGCGACCTTGGCGTTATTAGCACCACGCTCTAACCAACTGAGCTAACCGGCCACCCGGCGCCAGCCTCCCTCCGAGAGACTGATGAGGATTTTCAACTGCGCGGCGGCGGCGGCTCCGGCTCCCTCCCTCCTCGGCTGGACGCGGACTCTGAGGAGAGGCGCGGCGCAGCGGCTGCCTCCCGCACCCGGAGGCCCGCGGCTGCGTCTGCCGCCTCCGGGCCGCCTCGCGCGAGCAGCGGCGGGACGAGCGGACCCCGCGCCCCCCGCCCTCCGCGCTCCGGGCGCGCCCGGGCACGCGGTGGGGACGCTCGCCTCGGGGGCCCGCAGCCTTCTGTCCTGGGGAGGACGTTCGCTTGGCTCCCCCTCCCCCCGGCGGAGCGCGCGGATCCGTCCTGCGGCGCGGAGCAAGCGGGCCAACACAGCGAGGGGACAGGGTCTGTGTGCGCACAGATGATAAATGAACAGAGAGAGAGAGAGAGGCTGGGAAGACAGAGCCCCGCGTCCAGTCCGCAGAGAGAGAGAGAGAGAGAGAGGGGCTGGGAAGACAGCCCCGCGTCCAGTCCGCAGAGAGAGAGAGAGGCTGGGAAGACAGCCCCGCGTCCAGTCCGCAGAGAGAGAGAGAGAGAGAGGGGCTGGGAAGACAGAGCCCCGCGTCCAGTCCGCAGAGAGAGAGAGAGAGAGAGGCTGGGAAGACAGCCCCGCGTCCAGTCCGCAGCCGCCCGGTCCCCTCCCGGCCCGGGGCCGAGCGCGGGCCCGGCGGACGCCGAATCGGGCTGCAAGGAGAGGCCGCCTGGGCTCTGCTCACGCGGGAGAAGAATTTCCACCGAGGCAGAGAGGAAAGCAAGATTTCCTTAGGTCCGGAGGCTGAGCTGCGAGGTCCCACTTGTGGGGAGGGGGCACCAGACCAGCAGCTAACGCAGGGCGGGAACGCACCCCTCCACCCCCAAGGCCGCGGCTGTCGCCTCTCCTGTCCCGTCCAGCTTGCTCAGGATAAGACCAGACGCTCCAGGGTGGGGTCGGCCACTTCGTTCTGCTGCACCTAAACTGGGTGGACTCACACTGGGAGGAGTGGGATCGGCAGGTGGCTTTTGGGGACCGCAAGCATTTAAGGGGTCTCCCCGTCCCTCCGCCCCACCGGGACCAATCTAATGCCCGGGGCCGGCGAGGAAGCCTGCAGTGCGCGCCCGGGGGACACGCACACGCCCCCGGCTCGCCGCTCCGCCGCCACGTGCTCGCCCGGCTTCCCGCGGGTCCTCGCTCGGGTCAGCCGCCGCCACCCCCGCAGAAGCCCCGCCGGTGCCCTTCCTGCGCCTTCTCGGACGCCGCCGCGGCGAGCCGGGGCCGGGACACCTGCAGTCCCCACGCACGCGCTGCCCCGCCGCGCCGGCCCGACGTCCCCGCCCGAGTGCGCGGCGGCGCGGGGGCTCGGGCGCGCGCAGTGACCGGCGCCGGGCGCGAGGGGACCCGCGAGGCCCGCGGGCCGGTTCCTCCCCGGCGGACGGAGCAGCTCCCTGCGACGCTGCTCGCGGCTCTTGCGGGCCCCGCGGGTCGTGGTTCTCATCCCCGGAGGCCGGGACGTCCGCGCGAGGCGCCGGTTTGCAGAAGTCCACGGCCCGGAGTGTGGCGGGTGAAGGCGCGCTCTCGGCTCGAGTGTCATTCTGACGGTGGGGACCTTTGCCGCACCAGCTGGAGAAGTGCACAGCCCGGGAGGCTCCCGCGGCGGAGACGCCTGTCCGCAGATGCGGGCAGCGCAGAGGTCCGAGAGCGGGGTGCGGGAGGCGGCGGCCCACCTCGGCCCGCACCCCCACCACGGCTCCTCCACGCTCCCCCTTCGTGAGGAAAGCGGGCGTGTTGGACTAAGACCCGCCCGGAAGACGTGACAACCTGATTCCCGGGAAAGTCCCTGTTCCCAGCAAGGTTCTGCGGGGGTGGGGACACGATTCCACGCGTCACGCACACACGGTCCTTTAGTCTCCGAGCATTTGTGTTGAACGGCGTTGCAACACTAAATTCTTCTAGTCAACTACCTCATTTACAATATAATTGAAATAAACTCCATTATATGTTTACAGATTTAATATGTCTCATTTTGTGGGTTTTTTAAAGGTTTACTCTTTTTTTTATTATTATTTGAAAGGCAGAGATACAGACAGAGGGAGATCGTCCATCTGCTGATTCATTCCCCATATGGCCGATTCATTCCCCATAACTGTCAGGATTGGGCTGGTCCAATCTTCTGCTGTTTTCCCAGGTACATTAGCAGGGTGCTGGATCTGAAGTAGAGCAGCTGGGACTGGAACCAGAGCCCTTATGGGATGGGGGCACCACAAATGGTGGCTTTACTGGCTATGCCACAGCAGTGGCCCCTAGATTTACTTATTTATTCGAAAGGCAGAATTACAAAGAGAGAGGGAGAGACAGAGACAGATCTTCCCTCTGCTGGTTCACTCCCCAAATGGCCACAAAGTCTACAGCTGGGCCAGACCAAAGCCAGGAGCCAAGATCAAGCACTTGGGCCATCTTCCTTGGACGCTTTCCCAGGCCATCAGCAGGGAGCTGGATCGGAAATGGAGCAGCCAGGGCTTGAACCCGAGTCCATATTGGATGCCCACATCGCAGGTGGGGGTTTTACCTACCACGTCACAATGCTGGCTCCTCTACTAAGAGACATTGCTCGCAGAGATTTGATCATCTCCTTTGCTGTACATTTTCTTTTCTTATCTTTTATTTTATTTATTTATTTGAAAGGCAAAGCATCAGAGAGAGAGAGGGACAGAGATCTTCCAACTGCTGGTTCACTCCCCAAATGGTATAAAAAGCCAGATTGGGGCCAAGTTGAAGCCAGGAGCCAGAAACTCCATCCTGGTCTCCCACGTGGATGGCAGGGGCTCAAGCATTTGGGCCATCATTTGCTGCCTTCCCAGAGCATTAGCAGGAAGACAGATCCGGAAGCAGAGACGCCAGGACCCTGCGACGGGATGGCTGTGTCACAGCAGCGGTTTAACCCATGGAGCCACAGTGCTAGCCCCGTATGTTTCCAGAAGCCCATTCTTTAGGGCTCAGACTGAGTTGTTGATTCTCCGATTATCTTGTGTCTTCTTTAGCCAGTCCTGAACAATTCCCTCGACCTGTCTCCAATTCTGTTTATGTTTGTATGTTGATGGAGGTCCTGGTGCACACAGACGTGCAGAGAGCAGAACGTGTTCAAACTGAAGCTGAATTCCTGTCTGCTGCTGGGGGTGGGGGTGGGAATAGAAAGACAACAAAAACGCTTCATTGCACAACGTGTACCATGCCAAAGCTGTCAGACAATACAAAAGGAAAACTGACAAACAGAAGGAGTTTTCAGATGTTGTTTCTAATTTCCTACAACAAGTCAGTTGGTTCCAGGCACATTTTTAAAAAAGATTTTATTTATTTGAGAGGTAGAGTTACAGACAGAGAGAGGGAGAGACAGAGAGAAAGGTCTTCCATCTGCGTTCGCTCCACAAATGGCCACAATGACCGGAGCTAAGCTGATCTGAAGCCAACAGCCAGGAGCCAGGAGCCAGAGGTTCCTCCGGGTCACCCACGTGGGCCCAAGCACTTGGGCATCTTCCACTGCTTTCCCAGGCCACAGCAGAGCTGGGTCAGAAGAGGGGCAGCCGGGACTCGAACTGGTGCCCGTACAGGATGCTGGCACCACAGTGGAGGCTCAGCCTATGATGCCACAGCGCTGTCCCCTCCGGGAATGTTTTTAAATGTCTTTCTTTAGAGCGCCGCGGACCTGGCATTGTGGCACAGAGGATTAACCCACTGGTGACATCCCGCATAAGTACTGGTTCTAGTCCCGGCTGCTCCACTTCTGATGGCGCTCCCTGCTAATTCACCTGGGAAGGCAGCCAAAGATGGCCCGAGTGCCCGGGCGCCTGCACCCACCTGGGGGCCAGATGGAGTGCCTGGGCCCTGACCAGCCGCAGCCTCGCATCCAGAGCTCACTGAACGTTCACTGTGGAGCCACTTTACAGAAACAAGATGGCAGTAGTATAGTGACTGGCTGGGGTCACCCACTGGGGGTCTTTTCCCTATTACTTTCCCCCTCGTCTTTTTATTAGAAAGGGAGAGAGAGAGAAGAGAGGGGAGAGGAGGAGAGGGGAGGGGGGAGAGATCTTGCATTTGCTGATTGACTCCCCACATACACACACAGTCAGGACTCGGCCAGGCTGAAGCCAGGGCCCAGAACTCATCTTGGGTCTCCTACGTGTGTGCAGGGGCACAAAGACTTGGGTCATCCCCTGCTGCTTTCCCAGGTGCACTAGCAGGGCTGGGATCAGAAGTCGAGCGGCTGGACCTTGAACCCTGGCTCCTATGGGTGGCAGCTGCAGAACCTACATCTGCACCCGCCCATGTAGAGTGTTCCTCAGCTCCCGTTTTCACGGTAATTTGAATGGCTCCGTGTGCTCCGTTCAAGCTCGGTTTTCTCTGTGAGGTGCTCAGGATTTTCTAAAATGAACTGAATTTCTATTCCTGATTTTTCTAACTTCCGCCTGCGTCCCGGTCACAGGAACATTAATTAAGATGATCAGCAGCAGGAAACAGATTGTCTGCTAAACACCGCCGTCCGGGCTCAATCCACTGATACCGGAAAACGGGGAAAACTAAGGCGAGGATACGGGGTGAACAGCCGCGGACCGGTTTTGTAGGTCCGAGGTCAAGCGGCTGTGCACGTGGTTGGAAAAGCGAGGCTCCAGGTGCAGCAGCACCCCGAGCACGGCGCTGCAGACGGCCGGTCACGGCGGCGTCCCTGGCGGGAGCTGGCGGAAGACGGACTCGATCCTGTGTTCCACTCCCTGCCCCAGGTGCACCCCAAGCCAGGCCAAGCCCCGGCTACGCCCGTGAGCGCGCGCAGCTCGTGCACCCACAGGGGGCGCTCGCGTCCGACTCCGGCCCAAGACAGCGACCTGCACGCCTTTATTTACTCACGAAAGCCGGGTCTTGTTTTTGAAACTAGGGCGGCGCGGGAGGTTGCTTAGCAACCAAGCCGCGGGCGGGCCGCACCGCGCACGCGCGCTCGAGCGGCGCAGTCCTGCGCACGCGCGGGGCGCCGCACGGGGGCGCGCCGAGCGACGGTTGCTAGGGTGACGGGGATACAACATGGCGGCGGGGTCCTAACGCTCTCCAGAGGGGGAGCACCGCGGCGGTCGTGGTGCTGAGGCAGGATCCGGCCTCTGGAGCGTGGAAGCGTGCTACCCTTCCTGTCCTTCCCGTGAGGGGATGTACCTGGCATCCGCATCCGGCATGAAGGGTGAGTGGGGTCGGGGTGGGCGGGGAAGGAACCAGAGGGGCTGCGCGGCCGGACGCCGGCCCCTGTGCCGGGTGGGCGAGGGGCGCCGGCCGGGGCCCCAGCCGGTCGGCTGAGAGGCCGTCATCCCCCGGGGGCTCGCGGCTGCGGGAGCCCGAGGCCCCCGCCGGATATTGGGGTGCGAGTGAGTACGTTGGCACTTTGGGAGTTGAGGGTTTGGCGCTTGTTAGTTTTTTTAGTGATGGGAGTCTTGTTTGAAAGTTCGACAGTATTTTATTTTTTTGGATGAAGATTTATTTTACTTATTTGAAAGGCAGAGTTACAGAGAGAAAGATCTTCCATCCGCTGGTTCATTTCCCAAACGGCTGCAAAAGGCAAGGCTGGGCCATGCAGGAGCCAGGAGCCAGGAGCTTGTTCCGTGTCTCCCACGCGGGTGCAGGGCCCAAGCACTTGGCCATCCTCCACTGCTTTCCCAGGCCACAGCAGAGAGCAGCCGGGACTCGAACCAGCGACCATACGGGATGCCAGCACTGCGGGAGGCTGGCCCCTGCTTTAGCTTATTTTCGTCAGGAATATGTCAGATGGCATGTTGTGTCTGTTGTAGAGTGCTGTGTCGACGCACTGCGGTTTGGTGAAACTCGATTGGATTGGATCATTCACCGCTGCCCCTTAGACCCTCACGCCCCTGTTTAGAGGCGACCACTCTTACCAGTCCTGTGTGTGTGTCTGTCACTCCCTTTGTTCTTTGTCTGGAAGGCAGAGATACAGAGAACAGAGCTCTCATCCACTGGTTTACTTCCCAGATTTGTGCAGTAGCTGGGCTGAGCCAGGCCAAGGCCAAGAGCTGGGACCTCATCCAGGTCTCCCATGTGGGTGCAGGGGCCCAAGGACTCGGGCCGTCTTCTCCTGCTTTCCCAGGCCACAGCAGAGAGCTGGATCGGAAGTGGAGCAGCTGGGACCTGAACTGGTGCCCATATGAGATGCTAGCGCCACAGGCAGGGGGTATAGCCCACTACGCCATGCCGCTGGCCCTGTCTGCCTTTCAAATAAATAAATAAAATATTTTTAAAAAATGTTTGAACATAAAAATGACAGGGAGAGTAAGTTTCAGGAGAAAGCTGGGAGGCTGCTGGAGCCTGCCGCCGCCCCGCCCACTCCTGCCAGAACAGTCCTGGCCCTCGCAGGCCTCTGCTTTCAAGTCTGGAGTGGAGGCCAGGGCTTGGTGGTGTGGCGCCTGCCGTACATGAAGAGCTGGACAGGGAGGAGGTAGCGCTGTCGCCAGCACAGCCAGCCGCTCCTGAGCAGAGGGGCTCTGAGCCTTGGACAGCGGAAGGGCTGTTCCGCGGTGAACTGCTGTGCGATGGTCTCTTCAGAAGTGAATACAAACGTACGCACGCGACATCCTGTTCTTGCTCCTAGACTACAGAGCGGTTGGGAAACTAGGCGAAGGGACGTTTTCCGAAGTCGTGAAGCTGCAGAACCTGAGGGATGGAAACTACTACGCCTGCAAGCGGATGAGGCAGCACTTCGAAAGGCAGGTGGTCGCGCTTGGATCCCAGGGTGCCTTCGTGTGGGTGGGAGCCTGGTGTTCGCCTGATGGCTGTGGGACACAGGCAGACTCTGTGGGCAGTAGGCATGTGGGCTAACACCGTGTTTCTCGTACTGGAGTTTTCTCATGAGTGAGTTTACCATAGTAACAGTGATTAACGGACACAGAAACGTAAGTTGTAAAAGTCGCCTCAGTTTAAACCCTTCATGTGTTTCTCACGGTTGTATGTGTTGGATTTAAGAAAAAATTATTTATTTATTTGAAAGTCAGAGTTACACAGAGAGAGGAGAGGCAGGGAGAGAGAGGTCTTCCATCCGATGGTTCACTCCCCAGTTGGCTGCAACAGCTGAAGCTGTGCCGACCAGGAGCCAGGAGCTTCTTCCAGGTCTCCTACGTGGGTGCAGGGGCCCAAGGACTTGGGCCATCTTCCACTGCTCTCCCAGGCCACAGCAGAGAGCTGGATTGGAAGTGGGGCAGCCGGGACTCGAACAGCGCTCATATGGGATGCCGGCACTGCAGGTGGGGGCTTTACCTGCTACGCCACAGCGCCGGCCCCTGGATTTTTAGAAATCAAACCTTGGTCTATATGTATAGGAGTTCCCTGTGATTCAGTTAATTGTCAGCCTATTACTATATTGAAAGTAGTTTCTGGGCGGGGCCCGAGATGACGTGTTCCCTGGGGAGGGCTGTGTTTCTCGATCACCCCCGCAGGCACTGCCCTGGCTTTCCTTCGCACACGGCACGCTGACAGCGGCCCTGGGTGCGAGCAGCAGGTGCTGGCCTCGTTGTGGCTGTTGAACTTCTCAGGGAGAGCCTGAAGCTCAGCTTCATCGTCGTCGTCAGTGTCATCAACAGAATTGGAGATTTCTGCATTTCCAAGCAGTTTTTTAAACAGCAGTCCCCTGACGGAGGAGGGCCCCCTCAGGTTTCGGGGCGTGTCCCCTGATTTCTGACTCTCCCGTCACAAGAGGAGTCCGGGCAGCGCATCCTGCCAGAGGGTGAGGACGGACACGCCACCTCAGGACATCCCCTCAGAGTGGCTGTTAGGTCCTTCCTCCATCCTCCCTCCCTTTTCAGTTAACTGCAGGTGCATAGTGATGTAAATAATCGGACAAGCAAGCAAGGAAATTGGGATGAAGAGACGATTCTTCCTCATAGGAGAATTTCATTTAAAACTCATAAATGTACAAGGAATGAGGGAAATAGAGTCATCATTAGAATACAATAGTAGGGGCCGGCGCCGTGGCTCACTTGGTTAATCCTCCGCCTCCAGCGCCGGCATCCCATATGGGCGCCGGGTTCTCCTGCCTTCGGATCGGCACAGCGCCAGCTGTGGCGGCCATTTGGGGGGTGAACCAGAGGAAGGAAGACCTTTCTCTCTGTCTCTCTCTCCCACTGTCTGTAACTCTGCCTGTCAAAAAGAATACGGTTTCTGCCAGCACCCACCTGATGCCTCGGCGCGGCAGCAGGAGGGGAGCTGGGGCGAGGGTCGGACGCGGGGACCCCGGATCTCCACGCAGGCGCCGCGACCTGGTGTGCGAGGCGTCTCCAGTGGCGGCTGAATCCGCTGTTACAGTGCTCACTGGTTTTGTTCTTCAGCCATGAAGATCTTTCTAGCTTTTAGAGTTCTGGAGTGTCTGTCATCACCGTTATTAAGCCACTTGCTTTGATTCAGTGGCAGAGTAATGGGAAAGCTGCTTGGCGCGAGCTCTCGGCGTCCATTGCTGCTGTGTTACTGCCCTCTCAACGCGTCTTCCAGGTCCCCGCACAGCTGTGTGGGTGCGTGAGGAATGAGAGGCGTTCAAGAGGAAGAATCAGTCACGTGGGCAGCTCGGGTGGAGTTGGGAGCCTCAGCCCCGCCCTTGCAGCTGTACTTCCAGCTCTTCCCGGCTGCCTGGTGGAAGTAGAAATAGAGATCTGTGGCGAGAATCCGTGTGAGTGTGAAGTTCTGGTAAAACAGGGTCTCAGGAAGGGACTTTGAGCTCCCGAGGCTGGTTTGCCTCCTGCCCCACCTGGAGCCTCGTGCAGTGGTCTCTGCTTGCCTGCGGCCTGCAGCACAGATGGACCACGTCCTCAGGGCATCAGTTCTGCCTGTCTCCAGGGTCCTCCCTCACCTCTGTTCCCCAGAAGTGCACAGTCAAGAGGCTCTTTGGCTCCTGTCAGGGAACTGAGGCTGACAGCTGTTAAGTTCCTGCCTGCCCAGTGGTGAAACCAGACGGAGCCCAGGCCTGTGTAGATCTGGAGCCGAGTCCTGTCCAGGCCCGGTCCAGACTTGGGACTCTGTGTTCCCAAGTTGTAACACTAAATGGTCCTTAAGGGACCTTGGCAAAAATAAAGTCTGCTGTGTAAGATTATAAAAAACCAAAGGCAAGAAAGTCATGGTTTAATCTAAAGCCTTTTTTTTCTTTTTTTTCTTTTTCTTTTTTTGACAGGCAGAGTGGACAGTGAGAGAGAGAGAGAGAGAGAGAGAGAAAGAGAAAGGTCTTCCTTTTTGCCGTTGGTTCACCCTCCAATGGCCACCGTGGCCGGCATGCTGCAGCTGGCGCATCGCGTGATCCGAAGGCAGGAGCCAGGTGTTTCTCCTGGTCTCCCATGGGGTGCAGGGCCCAAGGACTTGGGCCATCCTCCACTGCACTCCCTGGCCACAGCAGAGAGCTGGCCTGGAAGAGGGGCAACCGGGACAGAATCCGGCGCCCCCACCAGGACTAGAACCCGGTGTGCTGGTGCTGCAAGGCGGAGGATTAGCCTCGTAAGCCGTGGCGCTGGCCTGGAGAAACTAATTGTAAAACCTATCTAGGGGCCGACGCCGCAGTTCACTAGGCTAATCCTCCGCCTTGCGGCGCCGGCACACCAGGTTCTAGTCCCGGTCGGGGCGCCGGATTCTGTCCCGGTTGCCCCTCTTCTAGGCCAGCTCTCTGCTGTGGCCAGGGAGTGCAGAGGAGGATGGCCCAAGTCCTTGGGCCCTGCACCCCATGGGAGACCAGGAGAAGTACCTGGCTCCTGCCATCGGATCGGCACGGTGCGCCGGCCGCAGCGGCCATTGGAGGGTGAACCAACGGCAAAGGAAGACCTTTCTCTCTGTCTCTCTCTCTCACTGTCCACTCTGCCTGTCAAAAACAAAACAAAACAAAAAACAAAAAAAATCACACAGTTAGTTTCTCCAAGTCTATGGTTTGCTATCCATTTTCTTTCTTCCTTTCTTCTTTTATTTCCTTTCCTTTCTCTAATTTTACTTTTTTGAAAGGCAGAGTTACAGAGAAAAACAGAGATCTTCCATCTGCTGGTTCACTCCACGAATGACTGCAGAGGACAGGTGACTGTGCCAGGCTGAAGCCAGGAGCCTGGGACTTCTTCCGGGTCTCCCTCATGGGTGCAGGGGCCCAAGGACTTGGGCATCTTCCACTGCTTTCCCAGGCCACAGCATGGAGCTGGATTGGAAGTGGAGCAGCCGTCCCATGTGGGATGCCTGCGCTGCAGGCAGTGACTAACCCAACTGCAGCACAGCGCCAGCCCCTCCTCACGTACCTGGACAGAACGTTTGCAGTTGCTGAGTACACTGGCCTATAAATGTCAGCTGGGCCAAGGTAGTTAATAATGCGTGTAGGGTCTTGTGTGACCGCTAGTTATGTGAGATTGTTTTAAAGAGTATAGGAGAGGGGTATTGAAATCTCCCCTTTTTTTCATTTAGTTCAGTTTTTACTTTTTGTACTTTGGCATTTTATTATTTAACACATACTTGTTTATAACTGTCATGCCTTCTAATGTATTGACCCTTTTTATCATAATGAGTAATACTTTTTAAAATAGTTTTATCTGTTTTGTCTAATATTAACATAACCAGTTCTTCTCCCCCTTCATCTTAATCGAAGACTTTGTTCTTTCATATCGTATTGGTTAGGAAAGCTTGGTATCCATAAAATCCTTTCAGTAAACTGAAATGTTGCAATGTTATAATTGATCGTTTTAAAAAAATTATTTAAAAGTTTGAGTCCTGCTATTTATAATTGTTTCCATTGTAGAAAAATTCCATGTTTCATTGTCACTGCCTGGATCTTTTTATTTTTTTATTTGAAGGGTGGAGTTACAGAGCAGGGGGAGAGGAGAGAGAGGGAGAGGGAGAGAGAGAGAGAGAGAGAGAGAGGTCTTTCATCTGCTGGTTCACTCCCCAAATGGGTGCAGTGGCCAGAGCAGCTCAGATCCGAAGCCAGGAGCCAGGAGCTTCCTCCAGGTCTCCCACGTGGGTGCAGGGGCCCAAGCACTTGGGCCATCTTTTGCTACTCTTGCAAGCACATTAGCAGAGAGCTGGATCAGCTGGGACTTGAAACGGCACCCATATGAGATGCTGGTGCCACAGGACAGCACCAGCCCCTGCCTGGGCCTATTTTTTTTAAAATGTTTTTTATTTATTTGAAAGGCAGAGAGTTACAGAGAGGCAGAGAGAGAGAGAGAGAGAGAGAGTCAGTCTTCCATTTGCTGGTTTACTCCCCAAATGGTGCCAACAGCCAGGAGCCAGGAGCTTCTTCCGAGTCTCCCACGTGGGTGCAGGGGCCCAAGGACTTGGGTCGTCTTGTACAGCTTTCCCAGGCCACAGCAGAGAGCTGGGTCAGAAGTAGAGCAGCCGGGACATGAACAGTTCCCATATGGGATGCTGGCTCTGCAGGTGCGGCTTTACCCCTACGCCATAGCACCGGACCCCACCAACCCCTGCCTCGGTCATTTTGAAGTAGAGGCTTGGGCCGGTGCTGTGACACAGTGGGTTAACGCCCTGGCCTGTGAGCGCTGGCATCCCATATGGGCGCCGGTTCAAGACCCGGCTGCTCTACTTCCTGTCCAGCTCTCTGCTGTGGCCTGGGAAAGCAGTAGAAGATGGCCCAAGTCCTGGGGCCCCTGCACCCACGTGGGAGACCTGGAAGAAGCTCCTGGTTCCTGGCTTCAGAATGGTGCAACTCCGCTGTTGTAGCCAACTGGGGAGTGAACCAGCGGATGGAA